CTATCCATCACTAAATTGTAAGTTGGATGGAAGCAATCGGCAGGTAGCCCTAGACCGAGGTCTCATGCTTTTTGGCACTCATCAGCAAGGCTTATCTGCAAGCTCGAAGGAACTGATGTCCTGGCTGAGATTCAAACCTGTGTCACATATTGCTGTGGTGAGAGATGTTTACACTGAGCTATTTGGGCCAGCAAGCTAGGTGGCCCAGCAGGTAACCTAAGTTGAGCAGTCCTATCAAAGTGGGTCCCCATGGCGAGTCTCCAAACCTGGTGGCCACACAGCAAGACGATCGATAGAATTCGATCAGCACATAAAGTTGGTTACACTCTAGTGACTAATTAATGCATTTAGACTATTTTTAAATTGATACCATTACTTCTTTAAACAAATGTCCACATCTATAGCAGAAGATATGAAGAAAAATGAAGATAAGATGACTATGTTCTTCAGACTGGAGCTTTAAATCTGTCAGTGCTGACATCAATATCATCATAATCAGCGGTTATCAGCTAAAAATCTTGACACAGAATATCTAGTCTGACATAGAAACTCTAACTTGACGAAAGAATGAATCTGAAGATAAAGCCATTCTTAATGATCATACTCTATGAGTATATGATTAAAAATTGGACTAGATTTTTGTTTCTTTGAGATTCTCATAAAATCTTAGTATAAATCTACATATTTGATAAAAATTCAGTAAAATTTTCCAATGGAATTTTAATCCCGTAAGTAATGGGGTAAATTTCATTCAATCCACATAGTACATTCAATTGAAAGATATGCAAGACCAAAACTATTGATAATCTGAATTCATTATACTGCATAATTTTGTTTCTGTCTAATATTTTTTGACAAAAATAAGTGATAAACTGAAACAACTAATAGCAGAACATTGATCATTGAACAGTGTATTATCCAAAATTCAGATTTTATGGTATACATTTTTTCTAAAAATAGGTTACACGAAATCGATTGATATTGAATTAAATGTAGATTTTTTTTCGGTAATAAAGTAAACCACCTTGTATATATATACTTCAATATTTGGTATATAACTTATTATTGTTATTATTTTCCCTATGGTTCCTGGTGGAACATAGGGCTTCAGTAGCACACCTCCCGTTCAATCTGTTCTCTGCAGTCTTTTGAACTTCGTTTCACGACTGCCCATAAGCATTTATTTCTTCTTCACATGATCTCATCAATATCACCCTCAGAAGTGCTTTTCGTGACGCGCCAAGTTTCTGAACCATATAGAAGCACTGATTTGAATTTGGTGTTTTAAATTCGGATCTTGTTCTTTGTGCTCAGTGGAGTGTAGTGGATCTCCACACTGGTTTCAGGTTAATGAAGGTTTGTCTTTCCGACCCTATCTTTGACGTCCTCGTCTGTGCCGCCGCCTGTAGTTGAAACGATTCTGCCTAGGCAGGCAGATGCAGGAGACTACTTACTTCCTTTAGGTTTCTCCCGTTAATGGTGCTTGTTGTTCATGCTGGAAATTTCACTAACAATATACAAATTATTGATGATAATTTCTGACAATATATCTATGTAGATGAAATAAAGAGTAGTAGTCGATGCAGCTAACGATAAGGATTCACAGGTGAACTTATATTTAGTTGAGATTAAAAAGGTACAATCTATCATTTCAAAATTTATAATGACATTTGCTTCAAGAAAAGCGTAGATTCAGATTCAGTCAACGATATTGTTATTTTTCTAAAAAAAAAGAAATAAGGAGTATATAAATCACTGATAGAATTGCTTTTGATATAAACTACATCAGGCTATTTGTTTGTATGAGTTAAATTCAATTACATTGAACAAATAGGCTATTCTGATAAAGTTATCATAAACATTTGAAAGATCAACATGAAAATTTTTTTTCTTTTAACTTATAGCTAACGGAAAATTTCTTTTAATCCATAGTTACCTATTACTTCACTGACTTGATGAACAGTCGACATATTATTGAATGAATTTTTTTTTCCTATATTAAATAGCGCTGTTTAAATAAGAAAAATTCAGAATGCCAAAAATTAACTTGATGTTTACCAATTCTGAATGTGTAGTTATGAGTTGTTAATTCTTTATTCGTTCGTTAGGTATTTTATTACTGAATGAAGTATATAATGATATTCACAGCAAGATTTTCTATGTTAATCTATTCTAAAAGTGAGATTGTTCGTGATACACCTTGAATTAAACGGTTCACTAAATTTTTCAGCGAAAAGGACTCTTTTCAGTGAATTTATTCTTAAGCGTTACATTTATTGAAAAGAGTTCTCTTCGCTGAATTATATCTTCTTTTTGATATCACAACGGGAATTATGAATGAACTAAACTTTTAGCACTTGTGGTCTAATTTTTGGAGTGATCGAGTAGATAAAATCTCCAAAACGTGAGGTAGATGAGTAAAAACATATGGAAAAATGATGCAACAGTCCAGTTAATAAGACACATTGATGTATGTCTCAGTTCAGAGTTTATTATGAATGAATGAAATTGTGGAGAAAGACACAAATAAATAATATGATATTGAACAAAGTCTAATTTTCTATAAACAGCACGAAGGAATACATCAAGGATTAATAATAAGTTACGTTCCAAAATCGTATAATGCCAATTATTATTTTAACTTGTAACATATTTCGCCAAATTGGTTGTATCAGATCACTAGAGTTTTTTTAGCCTTCTATGAACTTAATTGATCTATACAACAAACTACAGGAACTTATACAAATTTGGACAATGAAATATCGAAGATACTAAATGTTACATGACCAACTGCAGATCACTTGATCTGAGCAACGTTAATACAATGTACTGGTGAAACTTGGAAACAACACTGGAAATCAAAATCTCTTCTTACAAGAACCGGAAGAAGGATGTCTACTCAATTTTATGAGTATATTTAGAGAAATCTGTCTCTGAAAGGTAGCAAAGTCTTTACCAGCCCGATTTCCAGGCACTTAGTGAAAATATATCAAATATATATTTTTCAATCCTTTAGGATAATATACAAACGAAGAACGCCACATTTATTGCGGTTTTTGGAAGCTCTCACCATCGAAAATTTTCAGCCTAACCTATGTACTCAGAAAGAGACAGTAATTAATCTTTCTTTACCCTGGTAACTGTATATGATTTTTTCTACATGTATGTACATAATCTTCTTTCCTTTGATTGTATCATCTCTTCATTAGTTAATTACTGGCTGTTAATCACTTAAAGATTTTCCAGTTTTTTCATGTAATTAAGTAATGTACTGGCATTTTAATGACCCCCTCTTTTACCCTTCTGTCTGTTTGTTGTCCCCCATCTTCAGCATTTTCCATCTCATCAGATATAGGTTGGTATTGGTCTTGACTAAGATTAGTGATTACTAATCCTATGTTTGTTTGATGGAGCCAGTAGGCAGGAAGCCCTGGACCTAGGTTTCCTGCTTGTTGGCACTCATCAATAAGGCGTATCTGCATCCCCGACGGAACTAATGTCTCGCCTGAGATTCGAACTCATGTCACTTAGTGTTGTAGTCAGCGACCTTGGCATGCTAATTCCATGTCCTAGCCACCTGAGTTGATGACGTCTGCAATCTAACCAACCAGCTCACTTCGTTTACCTCAGACTTTGCGCCTGACTTCTACACTACTTAATTGTTGATTCCACCTGGAAACGTTTCGCATGCTCTACCTCTAATAACGATTTTTACAGCCAGAAAAAAAGCGAACTGCTGTGAAATACATTAGACGCAATTTCTTGTATCGATGTCATATTAAGTAGGCAGATTCCAAATGTAGCAAACTGAACTCTGACGCATTTCTGCAGTAAGTACTATTCTAATTTGTCCAACATAGGTTGTAGTCCGAAGACGGTAGGTTGTTTCAAGTTCGTACATATGCTTTAATGCTGAGTAACAAGGACCATAAAGCCTAGATCCGAGACGTTCTAGGGTTCAACTGTAAGCAGTTAATAATGTTCATTTTCTGAATTGTCTACATTCATTGCGATTTGATTATTTACACTGCTTGTCTGAGTTTATTTAACTGAAACCAGTGTGGAGATCCACTACACTACACTCCACTGAGCACAAAGAACAAGATCCGAATTTTAAACACCAAAGTCAAATCAGTGTTTCTATATGGTTCAGAGACCTGGCGCGTTACGAAAGGAATTTCCAGCAAACTACAGACATTCATCAACAACTGCCACCTACGCTGGCTCATCACTGAAGCTCAGATGGTCAGAATAATGAGAATGAGCAACAAGGAACTCTGGACTGGCAACGAACCAACCAAGAACCTATCACTCAACAAATATGCAGTGGAAGGAAGTGGAGATGGATTGGATTGGGCATACACTGAGAAGGCCGACTGGGGACATCATGCGTCAGGCGAGGTTGTCGAGTGGAACCTAGATGGGGAATGACGAGTTGGGCTTCCCAGTTGAGGGTGACATGGTGGAGATCATGTGAGGAAGAAATGAAAGCTTGTGGGCAGTGGTGGAGCTAGGTTGAAAAGTTTGCAGAGGACAGAGTGGAGGTGTGCTACTGAAGCCCTATGTTCCACTAGGGACCCAAGAGACAAATAATAATAATAATAATAATAATAATAATAATAATAATAATAAATTCTTTGTTTGGCTACGTTTTGGTGCTCTGTTATTCGAATTGTCCCCGACTGACTGACTACTTTGACCTCACAATCATTGCAAGGGATTTTGTAAACCACATTATTTCGCCTAATTGCATCAATAAGATCTTCTAGGCTACAAAGCTTGTTTCTAAGTGGGTTTGTCGATTTAGATGTCACTCTGAGGATTATTCGTAACGCTTCCAATTCTCTCTCCATTCTGTCACAATTGCCATTATTATTATTATTGGTATTAGGAAAAAATTAAACGAAGTGTTACGTTACTCCCAATGATAACAAGAACAAGAATAATAGTAACACATAAAAGAAATAAGTGGCGCAGTTAAACAATTCAGAAAAGTCGAATTCATCTTTGAAGACACTTTATTTAAAGAGAAATTAATAACATCATGTGAGGCGAACGTCAAAAAAGTCAATGGGTAAATATGCACGTACGTAGTCATTATGTAATATTCATATATATGCCGAATAGAAATAAAAACGAGTTACATGTATATTGTGAATCTTCGTTTGAAAAGGGAACAACACAACGCAAAACTACATGTAATACTAACACGCACCTGTGTACCACTCATACAACTGCTGTTGGTACCATTAGCACTGAGTAATAAAGAGAAAATAAAGCAAGTCATCTAAGAAATAGAAATTATGTTAGTTAGTAGACACGAAACATTGTTTGAATCGATAAAAAATAATATTTCATCACATATAGGTGAAAAAATAATTAAAAACAAAGCAGTTATAAATCGATCATTCAAAGAAAAAATACACTAGTATCTGAGCATATATATATAAAGACAGAGAGAGGAGAGGAGAGGATAAAGAAAATAATAATAATAGTCATAATAATGATGATTTGAAATAGATGTACAGAAGTGTCAAATCATATGAGGTAATGGTTAATTCTGGCAAAATACAAAGTATACGGTGTTCATACTTTTGTCCATTAAGTATATATATATATATATATATATATATATATATATATATATACGCACTATATGAAGAACGTTCAAGGCTTACTTACTTATGGCTGCAAGAGATCTATGTGTACGCGTTTGCATCATGAATATGCATAAATAAAAAGAAATATCTGATCATCACACGTTAGTAAATATACCCCTTAAACGGAAGTGAGCTCGCTTGAATAAACAGTAAATAAACAAAACTGACATAATTTACATGAGAGAGAGAGAGAGAAAAGAAGCCAAAACTAAACTAACACAGATGAAAATATAAACATTTTCAAGTCAGTAATGGTTATTATAACCAAATGAAAGAGGCTTTTAGAGACTGTGATATTGTCCTTACCACAACTGAGACGCATAACTACTGCTATAAGTATTTCGAGTAATCAAATTAATAAGGAATTAAATCACTGAAGCAAATAAAGTGAAAGAATAGATAAATAAAGGTAGTAATAATGTAAATAAAGCATACTACAAATAATAATAATAGTAATAATAAGTAATGAAAAATAAATCTGTTTACATCTCGTAATGGAAGGTGTTGTAGTGTATGAAAATAGGGAAGATTTTTAAGAGTTGCACTCTTTCACTTGGTGATATCATAACACTGATGTGATTGATCTTTTCCGTAGTAAAATTGAAGACGATACATACAGTATGTAGAATAGTTGATTTGGTTTACTTTCAGTGAACTCATACTCTTTCTTTATCCCCACTTCTTTCAATACAACTGTGTTGAAAAAAAGATGAGTGAAAAGAATACTAATACAATCAGGAATAATGTAATAATATATATATATACAAAAAGAAAAAAAGAGGTTTATAATGAAAACACTTTCGCTTCTATTTCAAAGGAAGGAAGAAAAGGATAGCGTTGATAAAATCAACTATATAATGAGTCAGGAACAACAGAAGCAAAAAAATCTTTACGTTTCGAGAGAGAGGGAGAGAGATCATCTACAAGATAATGTGGATACTGATGGGATAGTAATCGCTAATTTTGATTACAACCATTCATACAAACAGAAGTTGCCAATATACAGCGTATAAAGTGACAATCTAACACCATCCTATGGTTAAAAGAGAAAATAAAATAAAGGAAAACAGGAGTAGAGAATTATCAGTTTTATGAATATTAAGTAATCTATGTAAATTTGGAAATTTGGATTATATCGGTCTAAACAAACTAATTCCCTCTTTGCTGATAATATTTATATTTAAAAGTACTACTGAATTAGCCTTTACTTTCACCACTGAAGATGGATAACACCTTACTTTTATAGTTAAATTTAGTCATCACAACAATGCCTGATCCTTTATCGGGTATAATAATGATTATTTCGCATCTATTGCGCAATTGTTTCAAAGATTTGAAGTACTGTGAATTCAAAATGCTTCTTTGTCTTGTTTTCGAACTATGGAATGAGCAATATCAACTCATTTAACCTTTACCTGACTTTGATTATTTGAAGACGTTGAGACAATTGGTCATAGAGTGTTTCAAAGTGAGCATCAATGCTCAAATGAGAGATTCTTGTGTATGGAACTGAAAATGAAATCTAAGGGAAAGTGCGCCTTTCTTATGAACTGAAAGTATAACAGAGAACAAATTATTCACATATTTATCTGGATTGCATGGAAATGAGTTTTTGCAGGAATGTTATTAGAACATGATGTAGACAAGTTTTTGTCTTGTTCTATCCTTCGTTTTACTGATAACAGAACTACAAATTTCATACACGAAAATTTCTCATTTGAGCATTGATGCTCACTTTGAAACACTCTATGACCAATTGAGTTCTCTTATCTCAACATCTTCAAATAATCAATGTCAGCTAAAGGTTAAATTAATTGATATTGCTCATTCACTGGTCATTTCATAGTTCAAAAATAAAACATAGAAAGATTTTGAATTAACAGTACTTCAAGTCTTTGAAAGAATTATGCAACAGATATGACACTATCATTATTAAACCCGATAAGGGATCAGGCATTGTTGTGATGAATAAATTTGACTATAAAAACAAGATGTTATCCATTCTCAATGATGAAAACGACAGTAACAGCTGATGGTTCCATCAGAAGTATATTAGAAAATTGGAAGGTAAAGTAACTGATAATTGAGAAAACCTTTTGAAGATGAATGCGATTAACAAAGAGAAAATTAATTAGTCGAAACCGATAGAACATGAATTTCCAAATTTATATAGTTTACCTGAAATTCATAAAATTAATGTAAGCAAGAGTGTTAGGTATGTTTATGTATGAAAAAGGAAGATGGTTTTTTCATTTCATGAAATATATTCAATATTATAATGGGAATTCTTAAAGAAATGAAGATTTAAGTTTTCAAACAAATCAAGAAATTTTACAACGAAGCAATCGATTTTGAAGGTATCCTGGCCAACAATGGACTGGATGGTTTGAAAAAACTTGGTCACCGAGTAAGTATGATTCATTGTATAGGATGTATTTTCACTTGTGTAATCCCGGCGTAATATATTAGAACAAATAACAAAATAAACAAATATTTTGTATTATTCCTCAACGTTTCCATCTTGCTAGGAAGATCCTTTTCAAGAATAAGAATCTGACACTAAGTTTTCAGGTCAATATTCAAGTTTTGGCACACAAAGTGGTGACCTTTACAATCATCCAATTACATAGTGATATGGAGCAAAGATCAATGTAATACAGGTGAGTGAATAAGCAACTCGTTCAGAGAAGTTCTCTCGTTGTGCGAGTAAGGTGGAACAAAAATAGGGTGGGGAAAACCTTTTTAGTTCGTCTACGAAAAGTACAATGGGGCTGTGAGACATCAAGGGTGAGAAAGAATAGATTACTAGTTTGGAGGAATGAATATTTGAATATGAGACAATATATCTTAAATATCGATAACGATATTAGAAGATGAAGATTATCTGAAAAATGTGATGTATTTGAGCAATACATTTCGAACAATCTGATCACACATTTACTTGTCAAGTCAATTTATATATGTATATATATATATATATATGTATATATATGTATATATATATAGTCTTGGTAATATAATCAGATAAGGATTACCAAGGTAAATTAGGTGAAACAACAATCAGTTCCATATTTCCAACTTCTGTTAGTTGTTAATTGTTATTCATCGTAGACTGACATCAGTTGGAGGAACAAAGGATTCTGACCCAGTGGCTCAATGGTAACGCGCTGGTCGCGGAACCTGAAGGTCGCGGGTTCGATCCCTGCTGGTGGGGTCGTGGGTGCGCACTGCTGAGGAGTCCCATACTAGGACGAAACAGCTGTCCAGTGCTCCCAGGTTTCCTTTGTTCCTCCAACTGATGTCAGTCTACGATGAATAACAACTTGAAATAATTCCAAATCTCCACAACTCCCTCAAAATTTAAATGAAACAACAATCGTTCAATGCAGACTTGGGTGGGTGAACACATCCCCAAATGGCTAGAAAAACAGTTTAAAACACAAACTTTGATAAGTGCAGGTGACAGATATCCATCGCCATCTATAGCAAAACATATTATTGAAATGAATCACAGGGTTAATACGAAAACAGCTATTATACAGGAATAATCAGGGACGCATACTGAAGATTGCCGAAGCGTTAGCCACTCGTAAACTTAATCCCCCGCTGTGTATACAAAAACAAATTGTTGTTTCACCTAATTTACCTTGGTAATCCTTATCTGATTATATTACCAAGACTAGTGTCACAACCTTTTCATTTTCACTATATTTGACCTTTAATTTTCATATATAAATTGACTTGACAAGTAAATGTGTGATCAGATTGTTCGAAATGTATTGCTCAAATACATCACATTTTTCAGATAATCTTCATCTTCTAATATCGTTATCGATATTTAAGATATATTGTCTCATATTCAAATATTCATTCCTCCAAACTAGTAATCTATTCTTTCTCACCCTTGATGTCTCACAGCCCCATTGTACTTTTCGTAGACGAACTAAAAAGGTTTTCCCCACCCTATTTTTGTTCCACCTTACTCGCACAACGAGAGAACTTCTCTGAACGAGTTGCTTATTCACTCACCTGTATTACATTGATCTTTGCTCCATATCACTATGTAATTGGATGATTGTAAAGGTCACCACTTTGTGTGCCAAAACTTGAATATTGACCTGAAAACTTAGTGTCAGATTCTTATTCTTGAAAAGGATCTTCCTAGCAAGATGGAAACGTTGAGGAATAATACAAAATATTTGTTTATTTTGTTATTTGTTCTAATATATTACGCCGGGATTACACAAGTGAAAATACATCCCATACAACGAAGCAATCGATTACTTAATAGAAAAGGTATGTCAAAAACTCATTTAATTAGCACTTTATTCCATGTATCAATGTGTTTATTACTATAAAAGATTCTATGCACCTTAGATATGTCATTAAACAGTTACTTTATTTATTACTATTTATCGATATACTTGTAGTTCTCCGTTGTTTTTATTGGATCGAATTGTTCAACATAGGAGAATTACAAGTATATCAATAAATAGTAATAACTACTGCCTGTTATACAGGAAGTGGCTGTCGCTCTTCCGTAGCATAGTGGATAGCACCTTGGCGCTTGAAGCGATATGTTTAAGGTTCGAGTGTCAGTGGGAACAACATCACTCACTGGGGTATATCCAGCTGACGAGTCCCAAATAAGACGAAATGCGCATCCTGGATTCCTCCGCTAGCCACAACTAACTGAGTTATTTCATTTATTTTTTTCTATTGTTATGCTACATAAATGTAAACTAGACTGAACAAAAAACAATCAGCGCTAAATGAACATGTACATTCTTTTACTGATTGATTCTTATAATTTTCCGTTGTTATTCTGTATTAAATTAATCGACCTCCACACAGATGCCTCGCAACCGACTGATCATTGAATTTTCTGTAGTTTGCTTGTTGGTGGCTAGCAGTGGGATCCAGGACGCGTGCTTCGTCCTATTTGGTACTCGCTAGCAGCATGTAATTGCCTACCAGTGAGTGATATTGTTCTCACTAAGACTTGAATCCATCATCACCCATCGTTCCAAACACCGAGCGTTATCCACTAGGCTACTTGAGCATGAGAGCCGCCTCTTGTGCAAAGCGTATCAGTGGACTAGTGGATAACGCTTTGGCTTTTGAAGGGGTAGGTATTGGGTTCGAGTCTCTGAGGGAACAATATCACTCATTGGAGTCCAGGTACACGCAGCCAACAAGTCCTGAATAGGACGAGACATGCTTCCTTGGTCCCACTGCTAGCAACCAACAGGCGAATTGCAATATATACATTTTTTATTGATGCTTCAAGTACGACAGAACTATGTGCACTTACTACGTTTTGTTGGCGATTTGACTGTTACATACACCTTTTCGCTTAACTGTTAGTAGATATAAACTGATTTCGCTGCATATTACTATGAATAATGGAGTTGGAAAGCTGTTGATTAATAGATCAATATTGAAATTCATGAACCATAGTTCAATGGATGAGTAAATATTTAATTTCCCACTTGTTGACGTCATACGTTTGAGTTATCCCCTTTAACTACCCAGATTTTCAGTACCTATCAGGTAGCACGTATCCTTGTCTTTAAACAAAAGAATGCAGTTTATTGTTTTCTACATAAGCCTGTATAGAGTTGTTTAGTTGCTGTACTGAATAAATTTTAACGATCACGATGTTGAAGGAGAATATATTCATCTCCTCTGATAATACAATCAATTACAAACCAAAAAGGAAGTCAATCCTTCACATTCACCGACATAAAGTAACCAACTGTAAAGATAAAAATAGTGACCAGTGACGACAATATTCACAAAGACAGCCTGTTGTTATACCTACATCATTGAATAGATAGTAGCCTAAAAAAAGTAGATTCTAAGTTCAATTTTCTATTTGAACTCAGCAATGATAACAACTACAGAACTCGTGAAAGAAGTTACAATTGATATGCACGAGCAAGGAAACAACAGTATAAGTCCTAGTCCAACATGGAAATTACTGAATATAATTTCGTTGGTGGTGGAGTATCATACTACCACTACATCGCAATACTGAAGATCATACGGCGGTAAGTAAAACACGAAGAATCAAATAGCTTACGAATGAACATTGATAACAAAACGGAAATCAGTTCCATTGAGGTTGCAGATGCGCCTTGCTGATGAGTGCCAACAAGCACGAAATCTAGGTACACGGTTTCCTGCCGATTACCTCCACTCATAAACATCTATCAAACTGCATCACGATGCTGAGTTGACTAGTCTGGTGGCCACATTGCAAAATGATCGACAGAATTCAATCAGCACTTAGGACTAGACAACATGAAGTTAGTTACTCTCCAGTGACAAATCAGTGTATCTAATTCAGTCCTACAGAAGGTCAGTCGTGGACCGAACAGCTCGGTGAAAACGCCGCTGACTATAACACTGAGTGACGCGGGTTCGAATCCCAGGTGAGACATCAAATCCGTCGACGTTACAGATACGTCTTGTTGACGAGTGTCTAAAAAGTAAATAGTTTTATTTTTCAGACAGTCATTAACTTGTACAGGTTTTATTCTATAAAGAAGCGATTTCTAAAAAGCTGCGAAACGTCAAGAATCTTTTTTTTTTTACCTCATTCGGATTTTAAAAATACATTTAATTTATAATCCATTTACCCAATGCTTAACTCATTTAACTCTATCGGGTCAAATTTCGATATTGAAGTTTATAAAGTGATACTCTTTTATGATATTAGTGTTCATTACGGAGCTGTAACTCAGTGATTTAAGGGAGATAACTCAATCACTGGGTCACGAGTTCGAGCCTCACTCCATGTACCGAGCTTTGGGCAGCCAGTTAGTATTACCAGCCCTCACATAATATATGTGGCTCATTGGCTACTGTACGGACGTGCACAAGGTAGCTGAGTTCATTTTGTTAGTTGGATGGAGGGGTGATATTTTACAAATATATCTTAGTAAGTATGACTTCATCTAGCAAAGTGAAAAGTTAAATTATCATTAGTAAACGCTACAGAATAAAAATATGTTTCGCAGGTGTAAACTTTTCACATACTGAGGTATATTATTTATATAGTTTCCAAAATTTCTCCGGATCCTGATTTGAAGCTTTAATCTCTTCTTCTTGCAACATCTTGGATAATTCATAACTAGATGTATGAAAGAATAACAAACAACATAGGACAGAAATTTTATTGTTATGAAACTGATGTATAGGAAAATGAAAACAAAACGCCTATATATGAAAGGTTCAAGAAAAGGTGCGATAGTGAAGTGACCGAGTGAATAATAAGATATAAGCGGGCGATAATAACGTAATAAGACACTTGGGTTGGATACAAATAATGACTGTTCTCCCTAAGTATCCTATACTCTATTGACCCACGAAAATATCAGAAGACAAAGACTGACCAGTGAATGTTTATTCGACAAAAATATACCATCTATATCCAGTTTTCATGAACAAAAAAGACCGCTAGGTCAAAGGATAATTACCTTATTCTGATTGGTTATTTACAGGACAAAATTATCCAATAAAGTTTTACTGACTTCAGTGAAATGAAACAAAAATTTAAATACGCAGATATTCTACCTTAATGGCTGATGACTTAAAATGTTGGTTTTCATATAGACTGTTTCCTTGCACACTCCAGTACCAGCTAGTGAATCACGAGCTCCGACGCTGTTCACTTTAATAAGATGTAACAAACACAATCTAGAACAAGAACCTATACATGGTCATCGAACTAAATTTAACTTATTACTATCCGAAATGTAAGCATTGTAACAGCTACAAGTATGGATAAGTTATAATACATGAAAGAATAAACTAAACAACAAACCATACTTATATGAAGTTCATGCACAAAATAGACGACCTGTGTGCTTAAACAACAATAAACAGCTTGAGATTCCTACAAGTAACTCAAAAGTTGGAAGCCAAGTATAGTGAGTGACATAATTACCTAGTTAAGAGAATGCACTTGTTTTTATGTACGTTTTACATTATCGATTGTCAAAAATAATTCTTCTATTTACGAAACAGTGTTTTTCTTTTCAAAAAACAATAGTTAAGACACAAGAACTACGTAGAAAATGTTTTGTTGTCACAAAAAGTTATAATCATCCAACTAGAGAAGATACATAATATCGCCTAGCACGCCAGACAACGAGTACACGATTGAAACAGGGTGATGCTTACTATTATATTATTATTTGCCCCTTGGGTTCCTAGTGGAACATAGGGCTTCAGTAGCACGCCTCCACTCCACTCTGTCCTCTGCAGACTTTTCAACCTGGCTCCACCACTGCCCACAAGCTTCCATTTCTTCCTCACATGATCTCCACCATGTCACCCTCAATTGGGAAGCCCAACTCGTCATTTCCCATCTAGGTTCCACTCGACAACCTGGCCTGACGCATGATGTCCTCAGTCGGCCTTCTCAGTGTATGCCCAACCCAATCCATCTCCACTTCCTTTCACTGCATATTTGTTGGGTGAAGGGTTCTTGGATGGTTCGTTGCCAGTCCAAAGTTCCTTGTTGCTCATTCTCATTATTCTGACCATCTGAGCTTCAGTAACGAGCCAGCGTAGGTGGCAGTTGTTGATGAATGTCTGTAGTTTGCTGGAAATTCCTTTCGTAACGCGCCAAGTCTCTCAACCATCACATAGAAGCACTGATTTGACTTTGGTGTTTAAAATTCGGATCTTGTTCTTTGTGCTCAGTGGAGTGGAGTGTAGTGTAGTGGATCTCCACACTGGTTTCAGATTAATGAAAGCCTGTCTTGCTGTCTTTCCGATCCTGGCTGGCTTTGACGTCCTTGTCTGTGCCGCCACCTGTAGTTGAAACGCTGCTGCCTTGCCTGGGCACGTGAAAGAGACTACTTCCTTAAGTTTTCTCCCGTTGATGGTGATTGGTGCTTGTTGTTGATGCTGTTGATGGTTGGGTATCTTCATCACCTCTGTCTTCTCTACATTCACTTGAAGTCCCGTCTGCGCTGCCTCTTCTGTCAACTTCTTGGAATTTGCCTGTAGATCTTCAAGTTTGTGTGACATTAGGCACAAGTCATCGGCGAAATCCAAATCTTCTAGGTTCTTTTCACCGGTCAAACAGCGTACACTTATCTTTTTCCTCCTCACTGTTCGCTGCATGATCCAGTCCATTATAATCACGAAGATCATCTGTGATAGCAGGTGGCAGCCTTGTCTTACTCCTGTCTTCACTTCAAACGCGTCACTGAGCTTCCCATAGTGAATCACTTGGCATGTGGCGTCTTCATATAGTTGTTGAATGAGGTTGATAAAGATTTATGGTATTCCATAGTGTTGAAGCAGTTTCCAAATTACTTCTCGGTCGACGTTGCCGAAGGTCTTTTGAAAGTCGATGAAGCTGAGGTTGAGGTGCTGGTTACATAGTCATTCAATGGAAACTGAGTTCAGCTATAAACTACCAACAGTTAGAAGTCAGTTTAAAAGTGTTTCATCAAAAAATAAAGTCTTTGTTACTTATGCAATTAGTTCAGTTAATAAGCTTATGTTTTCCCTCAATCTCAGTTTATCGATGCAGGGTACTAATCAAAAGCTTAAGGTGGACTTCTTAAATTTTGGTTCTACCAAAAAACTTTTAACCAATTATATTCCGTCAAATTTCTCTCTTTGAGTTTGTTTTAATAATTTAAATGTCTTTTAAAGGTATCACGTACTCTCGGACGTTTTTAAAATGTTTTTGAACTTTCCTTCCTCAAGTTAAAAACAAAACAAAGGAAGAACATTCCGCTGGTTGAGAATGGATTTGTAAATGCTAAAAAAAAATACACCATATTACTATTCCTAGGATAGCTGTATGGGATTGTGAATTTCTGTGTTGGCTGACTGAATTGCCACCATCAAAATTACACTCGATTTTGTCTTAATTTCTGAATCGAGAATAAGTGCTAATGTAATATTAGCTGCCCATTTCACACTTATGCCTTCAATACTGTTATTATTAACACCATGAGAGCGTAATAATTATTTCTTTTAAAAATATTGTACAGAAAGCGAATTCGTTGAAATATTCTACACTGTATTATACATGTTGTTTGGAATAAAACGATTATTATTATTATTGTTACGCGCAGAGTTTTACTGCCTTGATTGTGTGTAAAAAATTGATGGTGTCCATAGACTTATCTGAGAATACATTAAATCAACTGTCAGATGTAAAAGACCGCTTCACGAGGCTCTATGAATACATTTCCTACTGAAAGCTGACGTTCAATAAACTAAAGTAAACAAAAGCCAATTGTATGACTTATAATAACCTGAAATATAGTATTTCAGAGCATTCACGTTTGTTATACACTGTGTAGAAAGGCGTAGGGTACCTGGATAACAACGATCAGATGCGAAACATCAGTGCTTAGAGATTCTAAGAAGTATGATTCAAAATCGAACACATAGAAGACTAATACATTCATTTTTTACCGTTCGCTACAATTTAAATACCTTACAGCTCTGTGGCTGTTTTATCCCTGCGAATACTGTTATTTTCACCCAGAATCAGAATCAACTACTCAGCTACCTTGTGCAAATTTGTGCGGTAAGCAGTGAACTACATCTAGTATGCGATGGCTAATGATACTTCCTGGTTCCCTAAACCTCAGTAAGCAGAGTGATATTTGAATTTGTGACCTATTTGGTTGAAAGTTATCTCCGCGTTATTATCACTATACCATCCTTAGGTTTCTCTTCCACTGTAGCTGTATAATGTTGCAACCTGTGATGATGTACTACTATACGAGTTTCTAGAGTGAAACATGTATTTATGCTGCAGTTATGAAGTCATCTAATTGTAATGATGCCAACCTCATCATTATCTCGTGTAAAAGTCTTGGATAGAACATTACACCGCGTATTTTAACACCATGACGAGATTCAATTGTTTTTACTAATAACTTTGGGCTAAATCATTCAATTTATTTATGGCTGGATCTTATCACATTCAAGTACTTTTTTCATAGACAACATCTGTAGCTGAACTTATTTACAACAAGGTAAAAAGGCCATCCATTCATCATTTGTTGACTACTGTCTGTAACTTTCACGTCATTTAAGGAAGTGAGTATAACAAATTAATCAAAACAGCCATAATCTTAGATTAAGTTCCTACTTTGAAACTTTTATGATGACCAAATGCTGCTGAGCTGAAGATGTAAATCAAAAGAAACAGAACAGAATTAAAGTTTTTTTCACAACTTTCTTAATTGAATAAAAGGCCATATTAACCTTTGTGAATAGTTCAGAAGCACTTATACTGATTACTTGCATTACCCCATATTATCACCTAGTGCATAGTATAGAAAAATGAACTGATGGATACGGGGTTTAAGTCTCAGTGGGGGGTCCAAGTACATCTAGCTGACAAGCCCAAAATAGGATGAAAAGCGTGTGTTAGATTCCACTGCTAGTCATCGAAATATGCTACAATATACTGAATATCCAGGCAGTATTGAGGGATCCGTTTAGGAACCCACCTGCCAATAGCAATCAAGAAACCTGACCCAGTCTACACTGGGGTCGGGAAATTACAATTATCAATAAAGAAAAATGACTTACTCTAGTGATGTAGAATTGCTTTCAGACACGTTGTATGATGTTAAAGAATTAGGATAATATTGTCTTTCAATAAAAGTATCCTTATTATTTTCAACTTTACTATCAGTATTATACTTCGAATTATTTTTATCTGATTTAATTGTGATAATACGGACAGCATCAGATGACTCTTCAGATGGAGGAGTTGAAGTTGATGGACAAAATAATTGAAATGAACAATCAACAAATTGTGTATCACCATCTAAATCATTTAATAATTCCCAAACTATTTTAGGTTCATTGAGTAGACCCATATCTGTCACTAACACGTATATAGAATCCTACAAAATAAAATGAAATCTTTGCATTATTCACTCTGCTGTAAACTATTGCAGATTTAATGACCAAATTTATAAATATTTCTGTCTTCTTACTAAATAAGGAAAGCCAACTTGAGTATCATGGTGACTTAGTGACTAAACATGAACAAGTCGAAATTTTCAAAGAATTCTTGTCAGAGGGTGCCGAAGGGTAAAGTTCCCGACTGTAACACAGTGTCACAGATTCTATTATCGAAAAATATGAGTTTTAGCAAACGTGTACTGCTACTGTGACTTAGTAGGACAAGCCGCTTGAGGCTCAGTGTTAATGGAGCCATGGTTACCCCTCGCTACCACTTCAGATTTGTCAACCAGGTAGAAACAATGAGCAGTAATACATGTAACTTATAGCTTATAGCCTAGTATATAAACCTGTATCGAATTAATGAGTTATATTACATACCCTATTGAGAGATTGCAATTGCTTTCTGAGAAAACGAAATCATGGCTATTTAATAGTTCCCAGCGCAATAATGTGTAGAATATGTTGTCGGTAAATTCATTTCGTCAGATGCAAGAAGTATTGGAAGACTTCACTCAGCAAGTAGCTTGTCACCTACTGTATGAAGGAATGTATGGACGCTAACGTGAGTTTTCTAATATGAACGTATATAACCGTTGCATTCTGTATTCATCAACTGCATAAACTAAAACGGTTCTTTCCTCATGATTAGCAGAGATTCAGCACATTGGTTAATTTCTTTCAAATGAACGGAATATTGAAGATATTCTTCTTGATAAAGAAACAAACCACTATAGTACTAGTTCTGAATACACTCTTTATTTTGTAAAGACAGCAATTAGAAATTTCATAAGGAATGTACTATGAAGGTACTAGTCAGTTAGGTGGATCAGTTAATAATGCAGTCTTCGGAAATATCCTGATCAAGCTTTAGATAAGTCAAATAAATATTTGGAAATAACAACTATTTCAAGGTGATATTCATCATGGAATGATATTAATTGGAGAACTACTGGAAGCCTGGGAACACTGGACAGCTTTTCCATCCTGATATGCGACTCATCAGAAGTACGCACCCATAACCCCGCCGGGGATCAAACCCAGAACCTTCAGGCTCCGCAGTCAGCCCAATGGATTGATATACAATGGTCATTTCGTACTTCTATCTGTTCAAGATCTCCATCCGGTGTCGTCGTTGAGTAACCGTTTTCATCATGAAAAATTTGCATTGAGACTAAAAACTTCTTCCTATTCTATTCCTGAAAACCATGCACTTACAGAATACTAAGGGTGCTATACTTGATTTGATAAACAATAGAAAACACTTCATCATTAGATGAGATATCATCGTTAGTGAAACAAAACCCAAAATCAAACCGATGAAATAGATTTTTTAAAAACACGCTATATGGTTGGCACCAACCAACAACAACAAACTCCAATCACCATCAACGGGAGAAACTTAAAGCAAGTAACCTCCTTCACCTATCTAGGAAGCACTGTTTCAACTACAGGCGCCACAGGCACAGACGAGGATGTCAAAGTCAGAATCGGAAAAGCAAGACAGGTGTTCATTAACTTGAAACAAGTGTGGAGATCTTCTGAACTCAGCATGTGGAACAAGATCCAGATTTTCAAAACCAACGTCAAGTCAGTGCTTCTGTATGGCTCAGAGACTTGGTGCGTTACGAAAGGGAATTTCAGAAAATTACAGACATTCATCAACAACTGCCACCTACGCTGGCTCATCACTGAAGCTCAGATGGTCAGAATAATGAGAATAAGCTACAAGGAACTCTGGACTGGCAACGAACCAACCAATAACCCTTCACCCAACAAATATGCAGTGGAAGGAAGTGGAGATGGATTGGATTGGGCATACACTGAGAAGGCCGACTGGGGACATCACGTGCCAGGCCAGGCACTTGAGTGCAACCTAGATGGGAAGCGTCGAGTTGGGCGTCCCAGGTGAGGGTGACATGGAGGAGATCGTGCGAGGAGGAAATCAGAGCTTCTGGGCTATCGTGGAGCCAGGTTCAAAAGATTTCAGAGAACAGAGTGCACTGAAGACGTGCTACTGAAGCCCTATGTTTCATTAGGAACCCAAGGGACAAATAATAATAATAATAATATATAGTTGACAATGAATTAGGCTAGTCAACAACAAAAACTTGATTAAGTCTTGTTTCTTATCATTTTATATATATTAAGACAAAGAAGGCATGAGTGAACTTAAGTAACGTGAAAGTAAACAAACAAGCTTAAAGTAAGCTGAAGGATGCATACATATACTAATCAATGAGCACGGTCAATGTGGAAGAAATTAAGGTCACACGAGTTCACGTGACTTGGAATTTGTTTTTCAATCTTTTATTTTGATACTTCTATTTAGTTAGATTAGTTTTATGAAAATAGATAATTGTTGTTGAAATTCCACTATTTCTCCACATTTAATCAATTTTTATATTATAATGACTTGATACTTCTAGTCGTTGTCATGATGGTTAGATCCAGTTTTTTTTTCTTCCATCTCATGCAAAATGATTTAAAAAAAACAAATTCTCTCTCAGCATATGGATGTACATAAACGACTATAGACATAAAGTTACTTTGGGAAACATGAATAAGTTCAAGAAGTTTGATATTCAGGTGAATCACTCCTATCAATAACACAAGTTAACATACATTATTTAATTCATTAAAATAACCAATTACCCTCAAGTCTATGACGAATATATATAACAATACTATGCGTGGTAAAATATGGAATTATTGTTTAAAGTATGCGCTAAGAGAGTTGCGAGTAGAAGGGTAGAAATCATCTTCACAATGTTAAATAACACAAATGAATGTTGAAAAGACAATAAGTATAATCCACCTACGGAATCCCATTACTTCTTTCACTAATTAACAATTTATTAGACACTTTAAAAGAATGATCATATGGTAATGATACAAGTATAATATACATGATCCAAGAAAAGAAGAGGATAAACATTTCTGGTAATTAAATATCAGTCCAGCTATTGAATATAAGCCTGGTTGGTCAAAAAACACTAGTGACCTTCCAGTTACGACATCAGGTTTTGTGATGCAATCAATCCCATTTCAACAAAGCATTTTATGCAGATTTAACCATTATCTGTATAAATAGTCAAGTTGTCTCTTACCTTATGCTTTAATATAGTGCTAAAGTGATTATTTCGAAAAAACACAGCCAATTCTTCATCGCGTAAAGTTGAAACCAATTGACTTAGACCATGGAATGTCAGTTGGGAACCACTTTGATTTAAAAACCATTCAATAAGTGTACCTGTTATGTGAAGCCAAAAAAAAATTAAAGTTTCAAAAAAGGTAAAACCTGATACAAAGTTATCATATGGCTAGCAAAATGAACAAACATGTATAGCCTAGTCTTTTGACTGCTATTACTGTTGCAGTAAGAGCTACGTAGAACGATGCAGATAAGCACTATATACAGTAACGTGGAGAGTGGCACGGATGGGATGGTGAGAAATCAGCCAGTAAGACCTTACAATATTGAATGATAATACAAAGAAAAACTGGATGGAATAACATGTAGGACAGGAAATCATTTGCAAAGGGATAAGAGTTTTACTAATATCAGTGTTATTTATTTATCGGTTGGCTTTTGTCAGCTTATGCCACCTCTGGCGCAGCCACAATATCACATTGTCGATCATAGGTCGAGTGCATTGTGTTGCAGTCCACTCTGTTCTATTGTATGACTTTGAAACATGACCATTAAAGATAGAAGACACCAGAAGGGTTCAAGTGTTTGACCACCGTTGCCTTCTTAGCATAGACTGTGTTTCGTGGTGTCATCACGTGAGTAACGCAGAAGTCACGTGTAAAGCTTTAGGGAGGAAAGGTAAGACAGTTGATGAGGTTGTGAACCTTCATCTAATGAGATGGCTGGTATAAGAGGTATGTATATGTCTAACCACCCTCTGCCTCATTGCACAATGTTGACCGAAGTAGGTTCAAGTTGGAAAAAGGCTCACGGCGGCCAAACTAAAACATGACATCAATGCATGAAGTTCTTAACTGTTTTTTTTTAGCTATGTACGGCAACGCAGACTAGCCGATTTGGGTCCACAGGAGAAGAGAAACCAGTGTTTGGAGACTTTAGGTGATATGGCTAAGAACCGACGTCAGTGGCGCAGATGTATACACACATTTCCCACATCTTAACCGCTATGCCTAATCTCATCATTTTCTCACTCCCCTTTCCTCTCTTTTACTACTTTCTGCTTATTTTGACTGATTTCTCGTTTCTTCGCCTTCCATTTTATTGCTTTCTGCTGATATGAAGCGTGGAAACCCGGATTGTCATGCAATAACGCCTAGTTCAATGTGGATCTTGATGACGAGTTTTACCAATAAACGATTTTGACCGTACGTTAGTTAGACTTCACTGTTTGCGGCTGGTCTTATTGAGAAAAAAATATTTAAAACACGGTGATAAGTATCTGTAGATCAGGTTGCAAAACATTTTGAAACATAAGTCGCACGTTTATGCAATTTTAGACAGTATTTTACTCTCCCTTCTGAAAAGATTTTATTACATTAAGGAAAGTGCTATTTATTAGTCGAAAGTTGATGAAGAATGGAAGCTGAAAATGTTGTTTTTATTTCAGTAAGAGTTCTTAGTTGAAAATGTTGTTTACGGATAGATAAGATATAAAACCACTAAAAATAAAGTACCAAAGACACCCAAATTATCTACAGTAAGCAAAGGAAAATCATCAGTGAAAACAAAAACACTTAAAAATATTGATAACAGGTTTATATTAGTTAAAGGATCATGAAAAACCAACAAGCATTGGATAGCCGTTACGTCATAGTTCCTCCCTTTACAATAATGTGCACCCATGATGTAATTCACGAACAACCTAGAATAGTCAAGTATCGCAGACACTTTGCTACAGTTCAATGATAAAGGTAGAATCCAATGTGTTGTAATCTGCTTGGTGGTTATTGCTGGAGTCCAGGATGCGCGTTTCATTCCATTTGGAATTTGTCAGCTGGATGTACCTGCACCGCAGTGAGCGATGTTGTTCCCACTGGGACTCAAACTCAGTGTCCATCGCCTCAAACGCCACAGCGTTATCCACCAGATCACTCTAGGACGACAGCAACCTCTAATGCAGCAGATTTCAGGTATTGTTTGATACTTGTACTACGGTCGAGTATCACAGAACAACACGAATCACCGGGGTGTAGGTACATCCAGCTGAAAGGTCCCAAGTAGGACGAAATGCGCATCCTGGATTCCACTGCTAGTCATTAAACAGACTGCAACATAATGGATAATCACATGGTATCGAGGCATCCGCATAGGAGCCCGTATGCCAATAGTGGGCGAACAATTCGACCCAGTATCACAGTGGAATCTAACAGTTCACATTTTTCGAATTCTGTTAATTCGTGATTATGACGATGACACTATCAGTAAAGAACTAGATAAAAGAGGATCAAACAAAAGCGGCAAACATAAATTGATGGTGTTTAAAAATAAAAACAAATGAGTAGTTTGGAGTGAGATAAACCATAAGTTCATCTGCATCCATATAATGCGCCTTAAAGCATTTTAGACCAAAAGAAGCAGTTGAATAAATCAACGATTTGCTTGACATTCGGTTCTGACAGTGAACTTTTTCACATTTCACTCTTACTTCAGTTAGAGTAACAGATTGATGTGATTGGTAGCTCAGTATGAGTAACACACATCCCAATGATATCAGGGACTACAATTTTGAAACTTCATCTGAGTTATGAAACACTTTATAGTTACAAACATTTTTTTTTCTCTGTGTACTATGAAACAGTAAATTCGACAGTTCATATATATCTGCATATCTCATTCTTAAATTTACAGACAATGCAAGCTGAAAATGTATCTGTTATTGGGGTTAAAATAAGCCAATGTATATATGTACTGATTTTATTGATAAAAATTCTCTTCCGATATTACTAACGCATTCGAGGTAGTAGATTCAACGAAAGTGTCATATCTATCAAACTAGAAAGAGTTTAGTTTAGCTACTGATCATAAGATAAATTTAATCAGTGTACAATTCAATAGAATTTCTTCAAAATGAGTTGCAATTCTCTGTAGCCAAATAAAAGAGTTAAATAAGGTTATTTTTGCAATTTATTACTCCAATAAGATGCATAAAACATAGTTGTATAGATAAGTAAGATCAGAAACCAATGGTTTCAACTACATTGACTACGTTAACAATAAAAAGAAGGATACCTAAACAGTAGTTCGTCGGTATATTTGAATGCAGTATACTGGATAGTGATATGATGATAAAAGGAGAAACTTGTTGCTAACACTTAAAAGATAAAAGACAGTAAATAGCCTAGTGAAATAAAAATGACAGGATGACTGACTAGATTTGAATGTCAAGCTTTCTACCCCCACCCCTTAAACCAAAAAACTTTTTGAATGTATTTAAATATTTACACCCCAAAACCTGATAACAATGCATACCAGTCCCAATTGACATACTTAAAAGCAACATATCGAGGTGCAGATAGAAATTAGGGAAAACAAAGAAAGAATACAATAAACCATGATTGAAAGGTGAGATACAGAAAATAGTATGTATGACTTAGGTACACATAAGCATGAATACATCTGCACCAAGTGTGATTGATTTGAAACCATATCGCGTAGGATACCACCGTTAATTTCACTTGTCTCACGGGCTTCAACATAGCAAAAAACAATAGTTAGAAACTTCATGTTTCAGTCTTATCAACTTCAGTTGTTTTTTAAAACCTGATCCAAAGTCAGACTACTGTGGTAGATAAAGTTTCAGCATAAAAATAACGCGTTCCGGCCAATTTGACCGATGGAAGTGTACAACCTTAAAGACTGATTTACTCAGGTTTGATAGAAATGAAGGGTTTTCCGTAGATGACCAGCAGTGCAACACTGATGCCACTCTCGATATGGGAAGGGGGAGATTAGAAATGATTGGTTCTGAAAATAGTACACTCCCCTTTATTTTACAGCATACCGATAACGGTGATATGCGTCCATAGTCGGATTTGCACAAAACAAACTTAACTATCAAACTTCCAAAATAACCATGTGTGATCGATCTCAACCAGATACTCATTGGGGTCTGTGGTCACGCAAGAACCCTTTTTCTCCAGGTACCTCAAGAAGAAATAGCCTTCCACCTTCTCGGTAGCTATGGAGTGTCAATATACTTCACGATTCTGTCAGCACTCAAGTTATTTCAGGTCACTGTCCACCTTTCGCAACCTTCTAATATTCTTTCACATTTCTCAGTCAGTATTCCTACACCATCTTCAATTGATTCAACCTCTGCAGCTCCATACAATGATTTGACTACACAGAACAGCATCTCTGGTTTCCTGAAACCACGCTCCAAACTACAGATTGGGGCTTTTAATGTCCACACCCTCTGCCAAATCCCCCAACAAGCATCGCTAGCAAAGACTGTAGCATCTCTGGTCATGGATGTATGCTGTATTTGAGACACGCATATAGAACGCAAGTACGGTTATTCGCTTTACCTCACCCGATCAAAATGGTGAATCGGCGAAATTCCCCTTGAGAGTTTCTAGGGGGTATCATGAATAGTCCTCTCCCTCTTGCCGCAGATGTAGGTAAAGCAATAAAAAGGTGTTAAGGCAGAAGGTTCACTTCTCGACTGTGACATGTGTGTTGTTCAACTGAATGGAGCAGTGAGAACTAAGGAATAGTGGGACTCGCATTCGTTTATTTGTAATCTCTGCTTCTCTGCATCTATTGACTGTAGTTTTGAAGAAGTGAAGGGTGAGTTCTACGGGAAGCTGTCTAGCGTCCTACTGAAAGCCTTACGTTTAGATGCAGTTACTGTTGCAAGTGGGTAAGCTAGGTCGGGCAGAAAGATACTTAGATGGGACTTTCCAGCGAAACGAACAGATAACACCGATGTCCTACTATAACTATGCTCAAACAACTATTTATTTCTTGCTAGTAAGAACTTCAGATGAATTGAGATACTGATTGTCTGAGGCGGTGGTGTCCAGCAACCCCAACTCAAGGAAACATACAGATAGACCATACTGCTATCGGTTGTCGATGGAAAAGACCAGTGGAGGATTTTCACTCCACCAAAATAGGATCCCCAAAGCATACAAAAGTTGAGAAAGCCTTAAGTAACCTGAAACGATGAACAGCAACAGGGCCAGATGGACTTATGCCAGAGGTATTGAGGGACGATAGTAGAGAATCATTGATCCAATTAACAAAAGTGTTAACTAGTGTATGGGAGTCCGATAGCTCCTTTCTGATTGGTTTTAACCACTGGTTATTCCACTGTTTACGAAACGTGAGACGTCCTCCTGTGATATCCAAAGGGGAATCAACCTGACGAACATATTGTTTAGCATTCAACATTCCATGGTCACTAGACGTCTGAATGGTGCTCGGAAATTGCAAACCCAGCTTCAGGTCTGGCTGTAGGTGTATCGACCACATATATTCACTCTCCTGCGGGTTCCAAAATACAGGCACATTTACTGACGCTCGACACTAGCTGCATTTCTCGAGTCCGTCGATCGAAAGATCTTATGGTGACGTCTCTCAATCTGCTGAAGGATAGGGTGTTAGTTGCAGAAGCAGTTATAATGTATTTGGCTGTGGTAAAATCTTTCGTTAAAATATTTGTCCTCAATATTGATCGAATAAAAGATGGGTAACAGGCACATTTACTGACGCTCGACACTAGCTGCATTTCTCGAGTCCGTCGATCGAAAGATCTTATGGTGACGTCTCTCAATCTGCTGAAGGATAGGGTGTTAGTTGCAGAAGCAGTTATAATGTATTTGGCTGTGGTAAAATCTTTCGTTAAAATATTTGTCCTCAATATTGATCGAATAAAAGATGGGTAACAAAGTGAAATATTCGGTAACCTGATTAGTTATTGTTTACCATTAAACTAAGCATTTTTGGGTTATTCTGTTTCAATAATAGACATCAGAAAATCGTTATTCACCGATTCCCATCTACATAAACCTCACAGCCCTTTACACATACTACCAAAAAAAAATGAGGATGTTTCTTTTCAAACAGAAATGTAAATTTAACTTACTTCTGTATACATCTTCAGAGGTTTGAGAAGATCTAAGTCGAAGTAATTCTTCAGTTAACTGATTATAGGTTCGTTTGCCAACAGTCATCGCCAAATCATGTTCATCAGGATCCACAAGCCAACCATGGTAAATGTGTATGTTGAACAAATCAAATAAACTTAATGTGGAAGTGTATTCGAAGTCTGAGACACTTGAGAAGTAATAAGAGTGTATATTGAAATTTTAACATTATGATTCTAATGTAATAAAGTAACTTTTTAAGATATCATAAGTAAAATTTATACAAAAAACCATAAGAAGAGTTCTAAAACATGTTTTTGAACTAAATGTAAAATGTGAGGAATTAAAAATACTACCTATCTACCGAGGATAAAATAGGTAGGACAGAGTGTGAACTTGTCACACTAAGCTGGATAGATAAAACAGTGTAGAATGCACTTTTATTCAGTTTATAAGGAGTCTAATAAGTATTAAAGATTCTGACATGAGCAGAATTAATGATTGAGATCATATGGTATGTGTAATGGAATTTTATCAACTACTGTACCACTGGGTTGACGTAACTGGTCAAACGAATGAAATAATCAACAAACCCAACTATACTTCCTATGTCGATGTAAAGTAATCTAAGGTAATCATTATGTATTCTGCAGGTATCGAACAACTTTAAATCTTTGATAACCAGTTTAAAACACTTTACACTCAGTTAATTTGTTTTTCGACTATTTAGTCTAAAACAATGATGAACGAATTCCCACTAAGTGACGAATGAGACGAAAAATATCCAGGAAAAAAAACTATTGAATTTAATCCAAACGATACTTTAAAGATACCATTTTTGTAGGGTAAACTGACAGATTAATAACAAGGAAGTTTTAACATGGGCTAGTTATAACCAAGCAACATACAAATAAAGTATTGTTGATATTAATAGGTGATGCCTCAAATACAAAAGTTGATAAGATGATTAAGAAAAGTTAATACACAAATCAACCAGAAATATAAAGGTAATTAATTAAAATTCAGCTCATAAAAACAAAAGAGGAACTCAGAAGTAAAGATGACTCAAAAAAATACGGAGAAACTGTCAACTTAATAAATTTCAGTGGGTAAGTAATAAGAGCATCACACACATAAACAGGTTGGTGAGACTACAAGTTGACAAAAAGAAGATAGACAGGTATCACCTATTAAGGATTATTCTTCAAGCCGGTATAGTTTTCTCAACTCCTGAAGCCCATAATGCATCCAACCGTCAATGCAATATTCAGACTGTAAAGACTCAACATTCTTCAGATAATCATTTCAACTAATTGTGAAGATGATAATTGGAAGTACTGAAGAATTTAAATGCTAAACTTTGGAAATCAAACATTACAATGATAGAATGTACTCGAACAGTTTAACATAATATCAAAGTTTGTCCAACGGTTCCACGAACAAGAACCTTAAAGTTTTGAAGATCATAGCGGTAAGCATAATATATCCCGTACTCCCCTGACTAGCATGGCTGTCTTTAAGACTAAGGCAATCGATAATTACAGCTCAGAGGTTCATTTGTTACACTGGAAAATTAGAGAAGAGTTAGAGAGAAAGATTAAGCTTAAGAAGCTAACCAAAGAGTTAAGGAAGCTAGGGGTTTAGATGAGAGTTTTTGGCTTTGGACAAAAAAACTCAGTTAAAATGGGAGAACTTGAAAACAAACCAACATATTGTCATATGAATACTCAATGATTTGTTACACAGAACAATGAAGTTTATAGTCACACATCATCTTCAGGATCATACCTTAGACCACATTGCACACTGAAGAGCATATCAATTTTCGACGGGTTTAATGTTAGAAGCATTACTTTCACATGTATGTCTAAGTCAAAGTTAAGTGAGAATGGTGCCAAAAACACGCAAGAGGATACCATCTGATGTCTTTGCCTCAAAGTATCGATAGAAAAAGTAGTTTTAGCAAAACTATCTAGAAACTACTGGCCCAAGTACAAATCTGTAGACATTGAAAACTTATATAGGAATTTGCACTTACACGTATATAAACCAAACGCCATAGCTTCTGTTATAGTGAATATGAACTCCATGGAGTGTTACTAAACTCATATTTACAACGCTATATAATTTTGCTAAGCAATCTTAGTGCAGGAAATATCTATTTCTTTTGAGCAGGAATTCACTTGGTGTAGGCCCGTTGTTGCGTAACAAAGACTGGACTAACTTGTGTAATACAATACAATAATTTATCAAATACTTCCTAATTCCTAAAACTCCTATTGACAATGAACTGATCTATCTCTACGGCAAAATGACCAGAAACTTTAATAATTCTTTGGTTTAACTAAACTAATCAGTTACTTAGTAGGGATCAGTATCTTACTCGAATCACTCCTGATACAAATCTCTCATGAACGGACATCAGTTGGAAGAACATTGAAGACCTGGCAGTACTGAACAACTGTTTCGTTCTGTTTCGAGACTCCTCAGCAGTCAGCACCCATGAACCCGTTAGAGAGCGAACCCAAGACCTTCAGGTTCCATAGCCAGTACGTTACCATTGAGTCACTGGGTCGGAACCCAATGGTCCATATCTCCTACATCTATCAGTTCACGATATAGCGCGATCTACATTCGATTTCGTCGTCGACTAACTGTTTTTATGTTCGACATGGTGGACTCTACTGGTCACGACTTCTCATTGGAACTTCGGGAATCACCTCTCAAAGCTGATCACCAATCAGCGCTAGATTAATTCTATCTGGAGGTTTGTGGAGTTTATTGGTTGATTTTAGGTTAGAATTGGTCATGGATTGATACCAATTGGAGGAGCATTGGAAACCTGGGAGGACTGAACAATTATTTCGTCCTGCCTTGGGACCCCTCGGCAGTGACTAACCATGACCCCACCAGGAATCAAACCAAGGACCGAGTTTCTGTGGCCAGCACGTTACCATCCCAAACATTTGAGAATGTTTGGTATGCGGTTCCCACCACCCAAATGCAAGTTTTTGCTCCAGGACTGGTCTTCAGCGGTGCCGCGGCTAACAATAGAGAGTGAAGTGATTGAGTGTGTTGACCACTTCAATTACCTGGGAAGTAGGATCACACCTACTCTGGTGGCTCAGTTGCCGATGAAATCTCTGCACAAATACAAAATATTCGATTGGCTTTTGCCAATTTACACCACCTATGGCGCCGCCGTGATATTCCTTTGTCTATTAAGGGTCGCGTGTACTGCACACCAGTCCGCCCTGTTCTACTCTATGGCTGTGAAACATGCCCATTGAAGGTGGAAGATATGAGAAGGCTTCAAGTGTTTGACCACCGTTGCCTGCCTTCGTAGTATAGGCCGAATTGCGTGGTGTCACCACGTGAGTAATGTAGAAGTCAGGTGTAGAGTTTTAGGGAGAAGAGGTAAGTCAGTTGACGAGGTTATGAACCTTCATCGATTGAGATGGTTAGGACACATACTGCGTATGCCTAGTAGCCGATTGCCTTGTCACACAATCTTGGCTGAAGTAGGCCCAGGCTGGAAAAGGGCCTGAGGTGGCCAGACTAAAACATGGCACCAATGTTTCAAGACTCTGACTGTTGATTTAAGCCATGTGGGGAGATGCAGACTAGGTGGTTGGGGTCCACGGGACAAGAGGAACCAGTGGTTGGAAACTCTAGGGGATATGGCCCAGAACCGATGTCAGTGGAGCAGATGTATACACACATTATCCTCATTTTAACGACGCTATATTGAACCTCACCATTTTGTCACTCCTCTTTTCTTTCTTCTCGTACTTTATATTTCTTTTGACTGCGTTCTCTTATCTTCATCCTTCACCTCATTACCTTTCTACTTGATGAACTGACGTGAGGTGTGGCAACTAGAACTGTTACACAGTAATGCCTGGTCGTATGTTGATGATAATGATGACGTTACCATTGAGCCACTGGGTAGGAATTCAATGTTCCAGTGTTCCTGCAATCAATTAATAAATCTCCACAAACCACCAGATAGAACAAATCTCTCAATTAAGTGTAATATTGTTACCAAAGCTTGAGAAAATAACATAAGAAAACTAAGATTAATGTAACATTTTGTAAGTAACAAGTTTAAAATTGTACGAAAATGAAACATTTTCAGTAGATTTCACTTTAACACCAATACGATATGACAGCAGTGTTACCATTCGATAACCGATTCACATGTATATAATCCAATAAGAATGAAAGATAAAATGCACGTTATCATTAACTGAGTTGAGTTCAAATATTTAGAAAAGACCCACTGAATGTATTTTAAAGTCATAAAGGAGAAAATTGCTAATTGATGTCTAACAACAGCTAGACACATGAAGATACAACAGTTGTCTAATAATCTAATAGCGCTATGTATTATTCATCACCTAAAAGTTATACACTAATAAACGACCTAAAAGTGAAGCATATACTTAGTGGAATAGGAATTGTACACATACTTGCAAATCATACCAAATCATATTTATTGTTTGAGAGATAAAAATACGCTTTATCTTCCATGAATTCATTAGAACTTTTAACAAATAGTTACTGAATCAATTATTTTTTTTTTGTTGATTGAGAATAAATTTAATTAATTTGATTAATCTACTCACCCAGTGAATCTGATATTTACGTCAAGTCCAGTTTGTAAACTAGGAAATAAACATAGTGCATCGTAGAAATTTGATTCATAATTAATTAGTTGACCATCGTCAAGATCCTAACGATATAAGAAAAGAAAGGAGTAATCAGCTGATCAATAAATGTAAATTTTCAGAAATTTAGGTTTCATGTGACTATCAGGAAAAAAAGTTATTAAGCACATATCACAAAAAACACGTAATAATTATTTAAGTCATGTTAACATGTGACTGACTTTAGAGATATGGTAGAAATACACACAAAACATTAGAATACAGTACTAAAGACATATACACGAATATGTTCTTTAAAAAGAATATCCCATTTGCAGTACATCGCTAGAAAATTAGAATTAGAATAACAAGATAGGTTGTTTCGCCGTGAAAGATATTTTACAAAATGGATGGAAAATAATGTTGTCATACGTCAAGAAATTGATGAAAGGATTACTGATCATGAAATTTAACTGTAGTCTAAAGTGAAAACAAAAAATTAAAAACGCTGATAGAACTTGTAACATCATGTCCAGTGTATATCCTCAGAAAAGTTGTTGTTACTTCAAGTCAGTAATGAATGAAAGCGGTTGGTATTCTCTGAAAGATATGACAGACAGACACAAAATAAACGTAGAACCTCGCACACAAGTGCATCAGTTCAAACTGCCACACTTCACACCAGTATATTAGACAATAGGTGGATAGAAAAACAGTGATATTAAAGTAGACAAAGTTGAGTAAGAGAATAAACAATCTGAAAACAAAAGTTAGAATAGATATTCAATGATTGAATACATCTGTGCCACTGTGATCAATTTCCAGCCATGTCAACAAAAGTTCCCAACCAATGGTTCCTTTTGTCTGAGAGACTCCAACCAAACGATATAAATCTCCCACATGGCTCACATCAATAGACAAGGACTTCACGGACTGGTGCCGTGTCCTGGTTCCGTCTCCCAAGACTCTTTTTTGAACTTAATCCATCCTCCTGATCGATACTTTCTCCTCAACGTGATGATCGGACTTGCATATCACAATGACTAAACAACCTATACTAATGCAACGCTTGTTCCCTCGAGGTTCTACGATACCAGGAAGGTCTGTTGAATATTCTGATAAGCCGGGAAACAGTTACCGTTGTAGTTTAAATTACTACACTATGATGAGGCTGTCAAGAGGAAGTTGTACTGCTGCTAACTGGATAAGGTGTGACAGCAATAAAATCTTCCCCTTGGATGACCAGCAGTGCTACCCCGATGCTGCCTTCCGAACAAAAGAGGGGTTTAGAAAAGATAGGGCCTAAAAATAATACACTCCGTCATGCCCCACAATCTTCCGGTGCCGGTTGTACGGGTCCTCTATAGCCAGACTTCAAAACAGCTCACAAAAGGCCACTTATTATAGGCCTCAAGATGTCTCATGGGGTTTCTGGTCACACAAGTCATTTTCCATTTCGGGTATCTTAAGGAGAAATAGCCTTTATCAGTGTGCGCAGCCGGAAAATGTCAACCCCCGCACGCTTCCAGTGATACACAAGATGCAATCAAACACAACCTATCCTTCTCAACTCTTTCTCCTCCTTTGCCTTCACCTCTTAATACTAATATTAGGGCTCTTACGTCTTACCTAACCTCTCACTCTCCAACTGTTGTCAATGACCAAAGCCATCGAAACTTCATTCCCAGTCTCCTGAGACCTACCTTGCTGCTGATTTTATGTAGGAGATTTCAACGCCTGAACTCTATGTCAAACCGAACGCCAAGCACTGCTCGCCAGAACTCTGGAATTTCTAGCCACAGATGTCTGCTGTGTCTCTGAAACACATATAGAGGACCAGAGTTTGGTTCTTAAATTGACCTCACACGACCATAATAATGAATCTTCGAAATCCACCATACGTAAACCCGGAAACCCAATGGCTAGCTCCCGTGGACTCGTTGGTGTAGGCATAGTTGTGGAGCTTCTCGACTGGATACCGGTAAACAGCCATCTATGTGCTGTTCAACTGAACGGATCGTGAGACTAGGCGATGTCTATTCGTAATCTCTGCCTACCCACTCGCCAACTAGTTCGGATGATCCAAAGAATCAATCCTATGAGAAGCTGTCGATTTTGCCACAGAAAGCAAAACGTTCAGATGTAGCCAAAAAGATAGGTCACTGGAACGCTCAAGTAGGGAAGCATTCGGAAGGCATCTGAGAGGTATTTACGGAATCTCATGTCAACAAACCGACAACGGTGATCGTCTGTTGCACTTATGTTCCAACAATCACTTGTTTCTGACTAGCACCAACTTTACGTATAAGGAGAGATAGTGTCCCACACGGCATCCACCAATTTCGAACCAGCGATGGACACACAATTCACATTGCTATCACCCATAGTTGAGGATCGGTGGAGGATTGCCACTCTTTCTGGAGTACGTGTTTGGACACCGATCATACGCTAATACGAGCTCGTGTATATCTTCGTCTTACTGGTTGCAGGAATCAGGCTACAGCGAAGTCTGCCTATGGTTAGTTGGAAGATGAAAACATCAAGTCCGAATTTAGGGACGAGGTAGCTAGGCATTTATCTGAACATGACGGCAATTTTCATCCTGAGTAAACCTGGCATGGTATTCTGTCTGCTGTGAAAACAGCTGTAAATACAATTGATAACCTACACATGAAGGTTACCAAAAGTCATTGGATTTCCACGTCATCCGAACTGATTGATGCGAAAAGACTGATCCCAGCTAGTTCTGACCACGATGAAGAGCCTAAGCAGCTGATTCACCTGACTTGCCTAGTACCCTTCGCATAACCTCAACATTGCTCACACGGTAGTTTTAGAAAACATGAGTAATGCTATGAAGACACCTGTAATCAAAACACTGAATGTTAGGACTATATACACGGCTTCTACAGACGATATAAGTTATACTAACAATACTAGAGATGGTGCATACTTACGATGTGTATAAAATAGGTCAACAAAGGCCACTGATTGGTCACCGTGGAGCAACCAATTTCATGTTGTCTAGTCTTGAGTGTTGACTGATTTTGTAATGTAGACACCTACCTAGGAGGCTCACCATGGCAGTGCAGGGCTTCCTGCCGACTGCTTCTCACCAACTAACAGGTGAACAATATCACTGTCATTTGCAGCATAAAAGTGCAGCCATTAAAAATGCCATAGGAAAGTCATAAAGCCTGAATAAGAAGGCGTAGATAAACAGATCATAATGGTGGTTATAATTATAATGTTGCTAGTTGATGACTTAAAGGTCGGATGATAACAAAAAGGGTTGCATAAGGTTTTTAAATCGTTTATAAGATGCATATAGATTAAAAAGGGTGAGAACGTGATAGAGTTAATAAACAATCAAAGGATTAGGTAATATGAGTGAGACAAGTTAACTGCAGTAAATTGGAAATGCTTTATTAAAAGTTGCGATTACTAGGAAGATTAAATGAAATAACACAAGAAACAATCAGATATAAAAAGCAAAGTGATAATGATGATATAAGAGTACAAAGATTAATCTGACAAAAAAAGGGGGAAGTAAAAAACGAAAAAAGGGAACGAAGCACACCAAGACTAAAATAAATTAAGGCTAAGGTAGAGACAAAGAATATACATACTTCCTTTGCACACAAAGGTCAGGTTTCAGTTCATGGATAGCCACAGCCTCTGGTGTTTTTACAAACTGAACACAGAGGAAACGCTAGATGTTTGGGCGGATTTGATAGACAACTTTAAAATCCTTGTTCGGGTCGGTTGAATGGTTGGAATCAATTAGATGCTCAAGGATAGAACTTCTGATTCATTTCCTTTGACCCTTATAAAACCGGGCCGGAATATGTTCTCGTATACGTGTTGACAGCAATCTCTGACTACACCTTGCTCCACAGGAGCAGGTGAACTGGTAGGTACACATGGATGTGGCCTGTCGAGGGATATTGTCTTTTATACAAACGGAGAACAATTTACGACTGGTAAAGATCAAGTGAAGTTTGGCTGAGAAAAAAGTCCTACTAATTGATATGGAAAAACGATTTTTCAGGCCAAGTTCTATCCTTCCAACCATTCAACCGACCCAAACAGGGATTTTAAAATTGTCTATCAAATCCGCCCAAACATCTAGTGTTTCCTCTGTGTTCAGTTTGTAAAAACACCAGAAGCTGTGGCTATCCATGAACTGAAACCTGACCTTTGTGTGCAAAGGAAGTATGTATATTCTTTGTCTCTACCTTAGCCTTAATTTATTTTAGTCTTGTCGTGCTTGTAATGCAAGCAACAACATTAAAATTATACCCATGGCACAAGGAGTGGCCATCGTGACTCAGTGGTCCAGTGAATGACGCTCTGGCGTTTGAAGCAATCGGTCCCGAGTTCGAGTCGTAAGGGGAATGATATCGTCCACTAAGAGGTAGGTACATCCAACCGAAGAGTTCTAAATAGGACGAAACATGCGTCCTGGATTCCACTGCTAACCATTATCCATCATTAATATAAAGTCCATATCATTTACGATACCTTCCTCTGTAATAGACGAGACGTCCTCCACTGACTGCGATCTCATTAACCAGGAAAAACTACTTCCATGATATTTTTAATGCTGAACGTAATTGATATGAAAAGCTTTTGGAAAGAAGCTCGGTAACTAAAAAAAACTTTACTGTCTCATTAGTTCATTGTAGGCTGTTCACTTTTGATCAAAGAACACGAAAAAGCTATTTCTGAATTAAAGTTTGTATTGGGCCGAAAAAATCCGGATAGACCAGCTAGAAGTAGACGCTTGAGAACAACCGGATCCAGGATGGGAAACAGTTGATCGAAAATCAATTAATCAAGAGCAAAATATCCATTTATAGGATTATCTTAAATATTTAGTATCATAACTCCCTCAATGTATTGTCCTCTGAAATATATCGTTAGACTAACAAGAAAGGTAAGTGTAAACAACAAAAGTGTGTGCTTATGGCAATTCAAATTTACTTAAAGAGTTTTTTTAACCACGGATGGTCTAACAGTTTAACGAGCTATGCCTGATCGGAAGCTCGTAAATAGTGGGTGTTGAATAAGCGCCCCAACAGTAAAATGTAGACCATAAGTCTAAACAATTTGTTTTGAATGTGTTGTGCAATCCGGCCGGAGCACCAAGAAATTATTCCTTTTCCTACGAATTTTTTTTACTGATATTGATTTGTGACAGTAATTATCTCTAACAACATATAGAAAAACAAAGAAACTGAAAACAGTAATTACTAGGCAATTCAACTTTGCCATTACAGAAGTGAATTTGTTTACGTTTAAAAAATTCTTTTACTTTTGGCAATCATAGATTAGAGAAAAAAGTGAAAGATATGAAGACATTTTAAGAATGTAAGAGGGGAGTGTGAATATAATCTCCGATACAGTTCCCAACGATGTTAGAGGATACAGCAGGAAAATGTCAATAGGTTAGGTTATAAGCACCATAGGAAACATAACAATGTGTGTAAGTCCCCTACTGCACTATAATATACACTTGGCGCGTTATGAATAAACAATAAATAATCACAAAATCTAGAATAAGATGATGTGTGTATTCATCTAAACTGTTACGATCGACTTGCAGTTACATTTCTTGGTGTTTTCAATAGTCGACTAATCTGATAGACTAGTTCTATGCATATTTTCGACTAACAGTCAGAGACTGCATGGATCGCCATTACACCCAACTCTGACAACCTTCGTAAATTCTGTGCATCTCTGTCTTACTCCATTTATCATTACCAGAAAAAAAACCTGAACTACTCTAAGCTAATAATTATCTTCATGACAAAAAACAAACAATACAAAGTGTATGATTGCATCATTAACCTAGTGCTAAAAAAAGGGAACCAAGAATGGAAAGTAGTTGCGTAATAATCTTTTAGACAGTAGAAATAATGAGGAAAGCAAGGAGCCGTATTGAAATGGAGACCAGATAACTCTCTTCAGAGATCAATTTACAAGAAGCCTACATGGAATGGACAATATTTGAATTTCCATAGCTGGGTGTCTCTTAGCAGGAAAAGGAATCTAATCCATTTTTTATCTTCAAGAATCAGAAGAATCTGCATGATTGACACTATCGACGATGAATTAGACAAACTACGAAAGATCCTCATGCAAAATGGATATCCATCCAGATTTATTGAGAAGAACTTGGAATTAAAACAGAATACGCAGCAAGTACTCAGTTCCAAAGAAGACCTTGTTTATGAACGCTGGTTTCAAAAACGATACGGTAGCAGAGATCCTGAAGAACTGGCTGTCTAGATCACTGAAAAAGACATTCTTCTCTGTGAAGTTTCTGATCAGCTTCTCTAGTCAGCAACTGGTTCTGGAATGCGTTAAGGACAAGTTGCCACTTTGGGTCACCTCAATGTGTGTACAAATTTACTCGTTCCTATGGAGCTAGTTATGCAGATCACACAAAGTGCATACTTTCGAAACGTATCTCTGAGCACTATCCTGCATGTTTGTCGAGGGGAGAATGTAAATTAATCAATAGTTCAATTCTTGAACATTTGATCAACTCTGGACATATACCTCGCCTAGAGTCCTCCTTCACTGTCATTTATTGATTCAAATGGAATAGTTCAAAAGGAGCACGTCTTCGACAGTTGTGCACAGTGGAAGCGCTGGTAATTCATCAATTCATACCTGATCTCTGCATTGAAAAGAAGCATGTTCAATCTTTTATCTAACCATGGTCTTAATACTTTCACATTTATCGATTTCATTATAATTAGTTAGTTTATTATTATTACCTTCATTATGACCCTTGTCTCCTCCTTCACCTTCTTTACATTTATCTATCAAATGAATAATTAATATTCGCATTTTACATCTACAAACAATTTTTACCCTGTCAAACTTCTCGCCTTCCTCGTTATTTTCACTGTATAAAAGATTACTGTACAACCATTATCCGTTCTTGATTGCAGTTTTTTAGCACTAGGTTAATGATGTAATTATACACTACTGTTTATTAATAGACTGTTATATGTTTTTGATATATATATAATTGTACAGCTTTAGAAAGTGATATAGTCGGAAAAGAAAATTTTCTTCGCTAAATTATCTCTCCTTTTCACAATACAAAGTATACTCACATCAGGTGTCTTTGATAAAAGTAATTCACTGAGAATAGCCAATAAACGATTTCCACTAATTAATTCGCTATCTTTTGGCAAATCAATTGTTCCACGTAATAACAATACATTGGCGATAGCAATCATTGGGCATGGACCATTTTGATTTTGTGTTATAATTGCACGTATATGATTATTGAATTTAATCCATTTAATATGATAAATAGAATTCTCTGAGTCATCAACATCTGATGAATTTATATTCCCCGGTTTCAATTTATCAGATGATTCATTGGACTGAACTGATGATACAACAATAGACCTCTCATTCATTTCTGTACAAGTATTTAAATTATCAGTTAATTCTTGCATATTTAAACAATCTGAGAATTCTTTAGAATTGGATTCAGTCAAATTTTTATTACTGATTGAACTATCAAGTTGTGTAAGCGTATTATTGTTTTCAGAAGTATTGTCAACATCATTATCATAAATTGGAATTTCGCTTGGTAATTCTGCAGTATGATCATCAGTTTGAAATGAAACTGGCATTGGTTTAGAAACTATGCTTTGACTTAAAGAATCTATGAAAAGTATTTTTTAAATAGAGAAAATCATTTCATAGAATGAATTATAGATGAAAGATATTTGTACAAGATATACCGTGATAATGATGTATTACACAATTGAAGGCAGCAAAGTAAAACAGTAGGACAATAAGCTGTTCACCTACCATCGTGACAGTGATACACTTAGAGCGTTAGTATAATTACGAAAACCAGTTCGATTCGCTTTTCGATTTCCATAAGAATGAACACCTCTCTTAAATAAATTCTCGAAAACTAGATTAATCACAGTGGAAAGTTGACTTTGATTGATTCATTACTTAAATCATTTCTATTCCACTAATTTGTAAGAGCTTAAGATCATTAAGTTACATAAACGGACTTAGACTTATACATATGACCGACACTGAAAGCTACTAGTTTAAAATAGTGGAGAATATTTGTAGCTCAGGTGGATGGTCTTGGTTCCATTGTGTTCTCTGAGCTGGGTTGTTTAATCGTGAAGCTTTCATCGCCCTTCTAGACGACATCAGTATAGACATAGACCCAATTTATCAACCAATAAAAAAGATGATAAACGACAGAAAGGTGAGAGGTCAAGCAGAGGGACAGCCAACAGGAAAATCTATACAGTCAATGACGCAACAATCAAAGGAAACAACCGATCATAGACCGCTTCGTCAAGGTAAGCTACTAAACACTCACGGAGAGATACTGACAGCTCACTTCATACTGAAGTTAGTGCTGATGATGTCGTCTAAGAAGGGTAATGAAAGCTTCACGATTAAACAACCCAGCCCAGAGAACACAATAACAACCAAGGCTATTAGTTTAAGCTTTCGCCTGACTTACTGATTACAGGTAACAGAAATACTAAACACATTATCCCCCAAATTTAGCGATTAGTGTATAAATTACCAGTTATCATCATCAAAATCAACATAAAACAAGGCATTTCTGTGTAACGGTCGAAGTCCGCATACCTCATATCACCAAATTAATTAACAGGGCAATAAAACGAAAGATGAAGAAAGAAAGAGAAATCGGCCAAAAGAAATAGAAAGTAGTAAAAGAGAGGTAGGAGGAATGAGAAAATGATGAGATTAAGCATAGCGGTTAAGATGATGATTATGTGTATATACATGGACATGTTTCACAGCCATAGAGTAGAACGGAGTGGACTGTAACACAGTACAATTGACCTATGATCGATAATCGGGTGGCAGCGCTAGAGATGGAGTAAGTTGACAAAAACCAACTGACCCTTTTGTATACGTGAAGAGATTTCGTCGGCCGCTGAACCACCAGGACTGATCCGACTTCTCAGGTTAGTGAAGTGTTCATCGCAATCAACCACTTCCCTCTCTATTGTTATCCGGGGAACCGTTAAAGATCAGTTTTGGGGCAACAATTTTCATTTGTGTGCAGAGAAACGCATCCCACACATCCTTAAATTGCTACTCAAGGTGTCCAGAAGATACTGCATCTTGTCAGAGTCTTCACAAGACTGTTATTTGAGTATTCTAGGTCGACCGAAAATTATCTTGTAATTATAAGTGTTTATGTAACTATACATATAATCCATACTGTATAGAGTTTGATGATAGTGATAAGGATGACCCAATATTAGTGTTCATCTGTTCCCAACTGAAATGTAATACGGAAACACGTTTATGCAGTATGCAACACACTCGTTTATGAGCAACAAACCGGATATTTCAGTTGTGCATTCTCAGAAGAAATGGAGACAGTGAACCGTAGTCCAATCGATAGCTGAGGAAATTTGTTAGAAACAACCTGGATACTATATACATATTTCTCACGTAGCTCACACATTAATACTTAAATATAAATAGATATTTCTAGTGGAATGCGCTACAGTAGGGCATGTGCAGTATACTTCTCGAGAATGAATTGAAAATTCTATCATAAGCGTGTTATATCAGCCGAAAAGTGGAAAACATGAATCTCAAATAAGTGTCATTGGTCGTATCTTTTTATATATAATAAAAGTCATTTTACTTGTGACTTAATTGACAATATTATTGTATAGCTCGGAAATAGTTGCATGTTGAATGAAATCCATTATTGTCCATTATCTTTCCCATCTTTTCGTGCTTGAAATCGGTTGTTTCATTTTTATAAATTATGATGCGTTATGGTCAGATAATTTAGTGACATATATATATACAGATGAATCAGATAGGCTGAAATATACAGAAAAGAAGCACCAGACTTTGTGTTGGAAAAGCCGAATTGCGTGACTCATCGTGTGGATGGATTGAGTACACGAGAGATGGCAAATATATTCGAGACTGATTATGTGCAAAGGTCAACGGTAAGAAAGAATGACCAGAATCAAGTACTAAAAACAACTACAATCAGGCCAAGTTATAACAATGCAGAATTATGCTTTGATTGTAGCAAAACTGCTGAACTCTAACCATATAGAACAAGATCTAACAATATCAAGCAGAAAATCAGTGAACTCAATAGTGAATTGTCGTTGAATGGAGGCTTTATTCTTCAGTTAAGTGACAGTGAAGGAAAATAAGCAGCAGCAGTAGGAACTTTTTGATATTCCACAATGACCAACTGTACAACATTAGTAGTGAATAAGTTTCATCAGAATCAAACTAAGACATATCAACAAAAGATGGTATCAGTAACTACTGGATTTAAACGCTGTAGGAAATTGCAAATGAACAGCTTTCAATATTAACAGATGAAACCGATCCTAGTAGACCATATACATTTATACCTTATCTTGCATAAAATTATGAATATCATATTATTTGATATCTGCTGATTTTGCGTCATGTGTCCAACTTATTATTGATTTCTTGTAATTGATTTTAACCTTCTTGTTTCCTTTCAAAGTCATACAGTCACCAGTTAAAGCTTTAATTTATCCCAGTTATAAATCACCTAGAAGACTTGGATTTCGCCGATGACTTGTGCCTGATGTCACATAAACTTGAAGATCTACAGGCAAAAACTAACAAGTTGACAGAAGAGGCAACGAAGACGGGACTTCAAGTGAATATAGAGAAGACAGAGGTGATGAAGATACCGCACCACCACCAACAACAACAAACTCCAGTCACCATCAACGGGAGAAACTTAAAGGAAGTAACCTCCTTCATCTACACCTATCTAGGAAGCACTGTTTCATCTACAGGCGCCACAGGCACAGACGAGGATGTTAAAGTCAGAATCGCAAAACAAGACAGGCGTTCACTAGCCTGAAACCAGTATGGAGATCTTCTGCACTCAGCATAAAGCGTGAACAACATCCGGATTTTCAACACCAACGTCAAGTCAGTGCTCCTGTAAGGTTCAGAGACTTGGCGCGTTACGAAAGGGATCTCCAATAAACTACAGACATTCATCAACAACTGCCACCTACGCTCTCTACTGAAGATCAGATGGCCAGAATAGTAGAAATAAGCAACAAGGAGCTCTGGGAACGAACCAACCAAGAACCTATCACGCAACAAATATGCAGGAGGAAGTGGAGATGGATTGGGCATGCACTGAGAAGGCCGACTGGGGACATCATGCGTCAGGCCAGTCGCTCGAGTGGAATCCCCATGGGAAGCGATGAGTTGGACGTCTGAGGGTGACATGGAGGAGGTCGTGCGAGGAGGAAATGAGAGCTTCTGGGCTGTCGTGGAACCAAGTTCAAAAGATCTCAGAGAACAGAGTGAAGTGGAGACGTGCTACTGAAGCCCTATGTTCCACTAGGAACCCAAGGGACTAATAATAAATAATAATAACAATAATAATAAATCACTCTGAACAATAATTACTTGAACACATTTAGAAATGAATAATTTCTCCCATTTGTAGCTGTGCACTTATCATATTTCTGTATGCCTAACTTTAAATCTCATAAATAACAATCAAGTTTGCAATCGTAGTTATTGCAATATGTATATATATATATATATATATATATATATATATATATATATATATATATATATATATATATATATATATATATATATATAGTTGAAAATATTGAAGCCAAATAAAATATTATTCGACTAATAATGAATGATTCAGAATAAAATTATTCATAATTCAGATCAGAATTAATAAAAATACAACCAAGAATTTGCATTAAGTACATACATACACGAACATACATACAAAGGTATCACGTGAATTTGATCACACGATCAAATGCCTATTGATCATACAACCTTAAAATCATTTGCTCAATTAAAGTTTGTCACACAAAAAAGAAGTCATAACACCTTGGTTTTTGTGGTCAGGATAAATATGATGAAGAATTAATTATTGGCGTAACAATTGTGTAAAATGAATAATTACGAACTATTCAATCCAAAAGATTCTTAAATAAGGAAGCCTTTTCTCTTCATAATTTTATGCTTTAGTACTACAAAAGCATAAGAAATAACATCAAAGTAGTATGGTATTGGTAACATCTAGGATTGTGATTACCAATAAAAATACGGTCAGCAGTCGGACCTCATAGTTCAGTTGGTAGAGCATCGGGTCAGAAACCCGAAGATTGCTGGTTCGAATCCGGCCGCGGTCCAAATTTCCATTTCATTTTCAATTATCACACAGTATAAATACTAGTCTGACAAACCACGGCTATCTCAGATAGTCAAAATGATAAGACCAATTCGTCAACAAATATTTCCACAATGTGGAAGTAAGTGCTACGTGTGGTATACCAAAAACATGCGAACAGAAAGGAGTCAGAAGTCATTTGCTTGAGGTGCATAACATCACTTGACCGCAATTAGGTGGCTACCATTTACTTTCTTTCACCTACCTAGGCAGCATCGTTTCAATTACAGGCAGCGGCACAGATGAGAATGTCAAAGCCAGGATTAGAAAAGCAAGACAGGTCTTCATGGATCTGAAATCAGTGTGGAGATCTACTATACTCAGCATAAAGAACATGATACGAATTTTAAACATTAATATCAAGTCAGTGCTCCAATATGATGGTTCAAAGGCTTGACGTGTTACGAAAAACATTTCCAACAAACTGTGGATATTCATCGACAGATGCCTACACTCGTTACTAAAGATCAGATGGGCAGAAAGAATAAGCAACAAGGAACTCTGGCATGCCAACCAACCAACCAAGAACCTATCGTCCAACAAATATGCAGAAGAAAGTGGAGATGGATTGGATTGCTCTAGGGAATATGACTCAGAACCGATGTCAGTTGGGGGCAGATGTATACACACATTATCCTCATCTTAACGACGCTATATCGAACCTCACCATTTTCTCATTCTTCCTTCCTTTCTTCTCGTACTTTATATTTCTTTTGACTGCGTTCTCTTATCTCCATCCTTCACCTTACTTCCTTCCTACTTGATGTACTGATATAAGGTGTGGCAACTCGGACCGTTACGCAGTAATGCCTGGTCCTATGTTGATATTGGTGGAGTGGATTGTACATACACTGAGAAAACCATTCGGGGACATCACGCGCCAGGCCAGTCACTCGAGTGGAACCTAGATGGGAAACGACGAGTCGAGCGTCTGAGGGTGACATGGAGAAGATCATGTGAGGAAGAAATGAAAGCTTGTGGGCAGTCGTGGAGCTAGGTTAAAAAGATTGTAGGAAACAGAGTGAAATGTCGACGTGCTACTGAAACCCTATGTTCCACCAGGAACCCAAGGGACAAATAATAATGATAGTAAATTTTTTCTATGTAACCAGTTGTTCTGCATGCGAGTTGGAAAATCCACATACTCTCAGCAACCTTGTGCATATTTGTGCAGTAGGCAATGACCCACACCTTTTGTATGAGGGCTAATGATACTGCCTGGTTCCTCAGACCCCTACAGGTGGAGCGGAGTCCGAAACCGTGACCCACTGGTTGAAAGTCAACTGCCTAAACCAATGAGCCACAACTCCCATACCACACACACTAATACAAGTAAAGTATAAGGCCATAAAGAAAGCTCATCAGGTATTGGAAGTCGAAATCTAGAAATGATGGGAGCGAACGCCTAGGCTGACTACAGGATCAATGTAGTCATATCAATGGAAGATAGATACTAAGAATTTAATTTAATACGTACCTAACTTTCAACAAGTGTCCAGTATTGTTTAGATGTTAAGTAATGCTTATACAAAAGTCTCATGCAACCAATCGGTGGTATCTTCTGTTAAAACGGTTTCCTAAACCTTTGATTCATTACATATCGTTAGCCAATAAGTCAAAACAAAATAAAAGGCCGTCTACAGAAAATACACCTTAAAATTCAACAAATACTTCATGATGGTAATGATGGATAGTGGCCAACAGTGGAATCCAGGATGCGCATTTCGTCCTATTTTGGACTCGTTAGCCGGATGTATCTGCCTTCCGGTGAGTGATGTTGTTCCCACCAGGATTAGAACTCAGGACCGACCGCTTCAAACGCCAGAGAGTTATCCACTAGACCACCGAGTCAATGATAGCCACTTTCTGTGCAACGGGTATAGTTTTAGTACTACTATGTAGTTAAAAACACAGGCAATACCGAGACATCTGCGCATGAGCCCATATGCCAATAGAGACTGATCAATTTGGTCCAATCAACGACGGTATAATACAAGCAATAACACTAAATACTTCGTGAATTTAGAATTTTTCTTGAAAGCAACAACATTTCACGATACAAGCCAATGAAATGACTTTTTCAACCGTAGATGAATATTGATATATAATATAGTAACTAACTGATAGTTGATTTTGAATATGACCTTATCGAACTTATATTTTCATGTCTATATTGAAGAAAAAAGAAATGAACAACAGTTTATTATGTACAATAACATATGCATAATCATGAATTATTTTACGTATACTTTTCTTACTTATACTTATTACTGAAGATCATTCGCTAGATAATGGGTTTGAGTGCCAAAAAATCAGGTCTGACTTCAACCTTACCTCTTGACAAAGAACTACAGGATAAGATTAAAACCCGATAAATTTACCATGGAGCTTGGGATTGGAATCGAATCAAAATACATTTAGCAACCAAGTGTACATTCATGCAATAGGCAATGAACTATACATATTGTCTTAGGGCTGTTAAGACTTCAGTAGGTGGAGCGGGGTTTGAACCCTTGACCCATCCCCCAATGAAAGTTGAATGCCTGAACCAATGAGCTTCGGATTCAACACTACTAGACTTCAAAAAGAAGCAAGCCCCTAGTTACGGAAAATGGTTAATATGTTCAAATGTGTGAATGGGCATAATGTCAGGATACAAGTTAATTTGCCAATCAGTTTTGTTAACTGAATAAAATAGACTATGTGTATACATAACCAAAATGTCTAAAGTACCTGACTACTTCAACTTGTTCCTATATCTCTGCCACTAATGATAATGCATTATTTGCTTACCTAAAGAGATACTGTTTCTCAAACACAGTTGTCATCACTCAACACTATTGACTGCAGCCAATGATCAGTCATAAGTGTTCCTCATATGAAAGACACGCCTACATTAACACTTAATATGTTGTATGCAAAGGAGTGAATTTTAAACATATTCATATGTGCGTCGGTGTGCATGCTCAAGGAGTATTATGCAGTTCGCAATCAAAAAAAATCACTTAAAAGAACAGTGATTAAAATAAGTTAGTAACAGCATACTACAGTTAGTGGGATTTTTAAAACTACTGGGTGCTGCTCTAGTCATTAGATAAATATCAACAATATGAAGCCAGTGTGTGTTAAACAATTCTGATGATACGCAAATAATCATAAAAAAATCTATGTCAAACTTACTTTCAAGCAGATCCGGAATTGAGGGGCTTTGAGACGATTCAGGAGTATTATTAGATGTTTCTGAAGTAGGTTCATCAGAAAAAGCTGAACTTGAAACATCAACTGGTTTATTGGTTTCACTCTTTACTAAGTCATTTGTTGACAAAGTTTGATTTTCAGATACAATCTTTGGTGACTCTTCTAGGAAAGAAAGTTAAGGAACAGAAGTGGGAGAGGTTAATTGAAAAAGTTTCTTTACTGACATTTCAAAGAATATAAAACGTAAGAACGGACTATTTAATCGTAAAGCATGAATTTTGAAACGAGAAAAACGCTAATTGCGCATATTTAATATGAAACTCTAATTTAATTCTATTCATTTTCAGTTTTTATCACATATGAAAGATGATGCTACTCACATTCTCCTTGAATTTACCTTTAATCTTCACCCGATATCCATACGAGTCTGCCAAACCACGGCTAACTCAGATCGTCAGAGTGATAATCAATATGATGTTCCCCCTCTTTAATTTAGGTTGATTTGGAATAAGGTGAGAAGCCCTTACTGGACAGCCAGTATGAATACGATGAACGGATAATAATGCATCACGAATTCACATGGCAGTCGGACGAAATCCTTACTGATCGAAGTGAAATTAAAATCTGGTCAGCAGCTGGGTCCCGTAGCTCAATTGGTAGGGCACAGGGTTGGTAACCGGCAGACATGTGTTGCGCATGCCAAACCACCATCTTCCTTGATGCGCCATGCTAAGGTTAGGTTCTAAGACGGTCCAGGGTGGCCAGGCCGAGACGTGGCAATAGTGCCTAACTGTCGGTCTTAGCCGTCTGGGGCGTTACAGACCACCTGTATGACGTCCCCGAGACCATAGGAATCAGTGGTCGAGAACTCTTGGTGACATGCTTGAAAAGCTGCCACAATGGCGATTATCACCTCTTTGATATCTTTTAAAGCTTGGATATTCGCAATACCCTTTATTTTCAGATTGTTTATTCTCTCTTACAACTTTTTCTACCTTGATATTCATTTTTTCTATCCACCTGTTCTTCGTATACTGCTGTGAAGAGTGACAACCTGAAGCGATGCAGTTATGTGCGAGGTTCTACGCTGATTTTGTCTGTTTCTATCGTATCTTGCCGAAGTCCAGATTCTCACTTCACCTTTAATCATCACCCAATATCAATAGAAGTCATCCGAACCACGGTTATCTCAGATAGTCAAACTGATAATCAACCCTGATGTTAAGATTACATTTGTTATTTTTAGTAATTAATCTAATGGTTATCTTTATCAATTATCGTCACCATAAATGATTTATCTTCCGTCCGACCTAATGATGTTACATTCCCGAATGACCGTATCCAATAAACCAGAGTCAAAAGCAATTTACTTCTGAATAGTGAGTAATAGCAGGGAAGTTCATGCATTTTTCTGACTTCAGATCACCTTTATTTCATTTTAATGACATCATTCTTTGTACGCCACTTGGTAAAAAGGCGATTCGGTATTATTTATACAACAAGATAACAGCACGATTTCTTTAAAGAACGTACTATCTTTAATACTAATAATATTGACTAAGATGCAAATAATTGTTTTCACAGCTTTTGCACTACATGGCGATGATTCCACTATAGTGTGACCAGAAATAACGTTACACAATAAGGATGACAAAAGCATTGAATTTAGTAGACAGATGATCTCATCTTATCCTAGGTGTATTAAGTGTAGTATGAACATCATCCCAAGCAATTATTTCCAACCAAAACACGGTAATATCCATATACATTGAACCAAGCAGCTTTTATAACCCAAACTACCAGATAGTATATCATTATGAACTTAAAAAAAGATGACGGAAACAGCACACAACCTTCAATTACTTATGGAAGGGTTACTACAAAGAGTCTAAGGAAAAGAGAAGAGAAGTCAAAAAATCAGATAATCAGCCTGCTACCGAACATCCTTACACAAACAGACAGACAGATTAACAAAGAACCTCATACCACAGTTGCAGAACTTCACAACACTATGGAAAAAACAAGTGAATAGAAAAAGAGCATCATGAAAGTAACTAAGTGTACAGCATAAGAGGAAATGAAATATGAAGGTTAGTAACGGTGTTCAAACATTAAAAATATCAAAGAGTGAACACATCTCTGTCATTGTGACTAACCGTCAGCCATATCGAATAGAGTCTATAACCATTGTGTCCTATCGTTCCGAAGACTTTAACTAGGCAGTCTACGCCTTCCCACTCAGCTCCGAACAACAATCGAAGATTTCATAGACTAGTGTCACACCTTGGCCTGACTATCGTTATCCCTTGTCCCACCCACCCATTTCGGCTAACATTGCACGTATAAGTAAGCAGTGCCTTGGCATAAACAACACAGGTTCAAGCCAACTCAATCTGTGAAGGATCATAACTTAATCAATCAACTTGCCTATCTTGTCTAGTACCCTTCACCTGACCTCACACGCTGATCCCACCAAATGCGAGTAATGCAACAAAGACACCTGAGATCAAAAACCTGTACCCGTTTCATATCTCGTACTTTAAACGGCCATATCTAATAGCCATATAACATGACAGAATCAGCTACAGCACAGTATGCTCGTTTTTTGATAAATATTCGGATATCTCACCAATCCGCGCCATAGATGGTGCAAGTTGACGAAAGCCAAACGAGTCTCCTGTATGCAGGTTGAGATTTCATTAGGAACTAACCGATGTAACTTCCGAAGTGAGCTGGTCGATGCAACCACTTCACTCCATATCCTTAAACTGGGAGTAGTTGTATACCAGTCATGAAACCTCACCTTACATCTGACAGGTGCGAAATGCATACCGAATATACTCAGATTTCTTCTCAAGCTGGTCAGGAGACCCTTCATCGATTTACTATCTGTATAATCTCAGTCAAACATGAACAGTGATAGTAGGAATGCCCAGTGGACACTATTAGTTATCGTCAATTCAGATGACAACTCTCCATAAGCCATTACACAGCCGCGTGAACTCAAGTAGAGAACTTCGATCAGCATCAGACGCTTGCATTGCACTCCCTTTACAATCAGATACTGCCATAACACCTCAAAGTCGACAGAGTCAGATGCTGTCTTCACATCAAGAAATATGGCAGGTGTCAGCCATCGGTAAGTATGTCGGTGTTCCATAATCCGTCGTCATAAAGTGAAAATCTGACCATTACACTCTCATCCTGATCTGAGACCTGCCTGGTTTTCTCGAGCTTCACAAAGGTGTCGGATAACTATGGCCTTCAGGATCTCAGAAACGATGTTAGTCAAACTGATTCCCATACCATTGTTACAAGAAGACTTCTCCACCTTGTATGGTGTAATAATCACTGAAGTAGACCAGTCTAACCGAGCTACCTCTGATTCCTATACACTGCTCAGTTCCTCATTTATCATACTCCGTAATTTCTTACCACCATCCTTAAATATTCTGGTGACAAGTTGACAGGTTCTGCTGTTTTGCATCGTTTCAGATTCTCAACTTACACTAGAGTTGGAGGACCGACATCTACATCCCACTCAGCTTCGCGTTGGATGCTGAACAAACGAACCGTTACTGTAGGCCAGATGATGTGAGCTTCAGTGTCCCTCAGAGACCATACAGCCGCCTATCCTCAGAAGTTATCAGAATCCCATCCTTTTCGGTAATGGTCTCATTAACCACCGTCTTCTTCTTGCCAGTATCCATAACGAGCCAAAGTAGCTGTCAAGTAATAATTATTATTGGTGTATTCCCTAACTTTCTCGCTTTCGCCACTCACCAATGGTCCCGGTCACTGTGAAAACTCCTGGTCAATTTAGGTTTCAGCTGCGTTTGCTTCTGTTTGTGGCCAGAACCAGTTGAAGTGAGTCATTGCATCAACCAGTTAGGATGACGTTTCGGGAATGCACTGGCTTTTGCTAACCTTCGGATGTAGGTTACCAAACGTCTTTACGCCGTTTCTACAGCAGACTCAATATGACACAATGTGTCATTAGAATGAGAGTTGGTTTCATGTTCATGTTCACCGTAAGTAGGAACTTAACGTTCTAATCTTCCTATTGTGCAAACATAGGCTTCAATGCCACCTGTTACCTGCAACCAGTAAGGTGCAAACACACACGCCACACTAAGGCGTGATTATAGTCTAAATAGGTACTCCAGAAAGAGTGATAAGCCTCCACTAACCGTCTCCAACGACGACTTATAGTAAGATGACTCATCTGCTTCCATCGTTGGTTCAGTGCTTGTGGATGCCAATTGAGTGTCTCTCTTGACGCCTGAAGTTAGTGCTGACAAAAAACAAGTGACTGTCGAAATAAAATTGCAACGGACGACCCTCGTTGCCAGTTTGTTGGCATGGGACCCCGTAGATACCTTCAGGATGTATTTCTGGCTGCCTTAGCCTTCCTACTTTAGTGTTGAAGTCGTCTGTTATTGTGACTACACCTGAACGTTTTGTTTCCTGTAACAAGGTTGACAACTCTCGATAGAACTCATGCTCTGTATCATCTGAACTGCAGTCGGTGGCTCTATATGTGGAAATTACGATTAAGCATTGGCGATTGTCGCTGTCCTTTCCAGTCTTAACAGATCCTATTAGTGTGAAAGCAATTGTAAGGCTGTCGACTGTTATCTAGTCAAAAAGTGCACCTTTTGCTCGAAAATGCAATGCTATCTCTAAACTAGCAAGTTTAACAGAGCTGTCATCGAATCTCCAGATGCTCATAAAAAGTGAAGTAAAGTGAATTTTACAGATTCACAGCATTGGTCAAGTGAGGTGAAGTGCATACACACATTTGAGTCCAATTGAAAGAAATCGAAATGCACTCAGTAACATTGTCCACGTCCATGCAGTAAGCAATGAGTCACCTGTGGAGCTGTGGCTCACTGGTTTCAGGAGTGGACTTGCAAACAATCGGTCACCGGTTTGAGCCTCGCTCCACCTATCAAGGTTTGGGCAGCCAAGTAGTATCATTAGCCCTCATAAAATAGGTGTGGCTAACTGCCTACCGTACGAACGTGCACAAGGTTGCTGAGTGCATTTCGATTTTCAATTCGATTCATACCTAAGGTATGAAGGTTAAGAACACTAGCTGGCCGCCCAAACCTCAGTAGGTGAAGGGGTGTTCGGGCCCCTAAACCACTCAGCCACACCTCCTCTCACACCTTCGTAGTATATGTGCATCCCAGAAACACTGCTAGCTCTAACCAGTTCTAGAGTTTTAGAAGGAGGTGCGTGTTGTCCCACCTGGCACAGCTTTTGGACATTGAAAGCTGCAATTTGAAATCGACGGCGTATTTCTAGAGTATTATGAATGGTGTTCTGATGGCTTGGGTCACTAGTAATGGTTGCAGATTGAGAGGTTGAGGAATTTGTAAGGGGTTTAATATTGGCATTGGGAAGTGAAGGCAAGGGATGTGACAAAAGTGAGGATAGGTTATTGTGAGTTAGATTCTGTGTACCGCTGGAAGCATGCGGGTGGTCGGTACCTCCTAGCTGCTCATACGGTAAAATTGGTTTCTGCAAGGTACCTGAAAGAGGAAAAGAACTAATTTTGACTGGCAGCAAAACCCGGGAGACATCTGCTGCATACCCTTTATATATGGCCATTTCGGCAGTTTGATATTTAAGTTTGTTTACTTTAAATTCAGCTCGAAAACTCATACTATCGGCATTGGAAGAACATACAGCAGTGGATTTTCGTTATTCTGGGGGTCAAACGTTTTCAAACCCTCGTTTCCATAAGGACGACAGCACCTGCATGTTCCTGCTGGTTATGTGTGAGAAAAACTTTAGTGCTGCTCTACCCTCATCTGGCCAGCGGTGTCACTTTGCCTTCGGACCGACGTTATGGTGTGGTAATTTACACTATAATGGTTACTTCTTTTTTCTTAACTAATATCCAACGGAACTTTCTGGTATAGTAGGACCTCAAGGAAATAAGCGTTGAACAAGTGCAGTTCGGCGGATCACTGTAGTATGAAAGCCTAACCACCACATCAAGACAGCAGCTGTTGGTCGCACCAAAGGACATTAACAGTAAAGCTCCTAGTAATAGACTCTAATTACAGTAACATCTGCTCATACACAACTTTCGAAAATTCAGCATACCTTACATGGATATGTTTAGCTTTGCTAAGCTAATTTACAAAATATAACAAATCCCAAGGAAAATATAGTGACTTCAGTTATTAAGTGGTCTCTGTCGCATACTTCTGTATTCTCACATGTAATGCATTACCCAGTACCTGACTTAGAACTTGAAATCATATGCATTGTGATTATATCAGTATTTTCACCAGACATCTTTACAGTGACCTGATCCACCAAAAGATGATATCAGCAAACACCTGAATTATGAAGGCGTTAAATAATGTTTACCAGCAAGCACTTCAAAAGGAAGGTAGTCGCAGTAAACTGTGTGGTGTACTTGTTTGTGGTATAAAAATCTCATTACCGGTTTGTACAACCAGCACCCATTAATTGATCAAATAGTTTAATTTCATTGTCACATGAATGACAAGCATGACCAATTTCTCAGAAACAATGAAATCTTACAAACGGTTCATATTCTTTTCTTAGCTGAGTAGTTTGTCATTCAAGTTGTCAAGTTCATTCTGCCTGATTTCACCCGGGTCTAGACAGATCTCTCTCTCTCTCCTGATCACAGCTGTATCATCTGGGCAAGACTTCATTTAAGCATTTCGACCAGGGAAACTACGATATTAGTTCTCAGAGAAGCAAAGGTGTAGTGAATTTCAACAGTTTAAGAATATGTAACTCATTCTTAACATTGTTACATGGTTCTCCGCAATGCACATATTACAGAAATGAACGAAACGAATGGTGGTTCAGTAGAAATTGCAAACAATGAATTTAAGATTCGAACACCAATCCGTACGCAGAGGTTTGGGTCGACAAGTATAAACGCTAGTCACTTAACAATGTGTCTCGCAAAATAATGCTTAGGTATGAGTAATACTAATGAGCTGAATTTTTTTACCGGGTTTTCTACCACATCATCCCAACCCACACCCTGATTCACAAATGAACTGATGCAAAAATTAGAAAAGAAAACTAAGTTCAGTAAGCCCAAAGAATATCATGGACCAATATACTCTGGTCTATAAACGGGTACTAGCCCATTGAATTCGCTCTACTTCGGGCAATATAAATAAAATTTAATCGGTTACCTAAATCTTAAACTAATAAGATTTTCATTTGCATAAACATACATATGCACACACCTTTTTGTGAAATAAGAGATAAATGGTCAAAAGTATCAAAATCATTTGGAGACGGTATTTCAGGAAATGACATTTCATCCACTAATACAGAAAGAGATACCGTACTTTCATTCACAGTGTAGTTATTTAGTACATTTTCCTTTGATATTTCGGCAGCCACGTCAATATAATCATCTACAAAAAATATACGGTAAAATAGAACAAACGTACGAAATCTAAAATGTCGTAAACCGTGAGGCAAGTGATCTATAAGCTAAGTTGTTATCTTGAAAAATTTAAAGCTTAGCTTTACAGGTTACATAATGATAGATATCGACGTCAAACATTAGATACTAAGGGATACCAAAGAGTGGCAACCATACATATGAAGGATGGTACAGAAAGAATACGAGGGCTTATAGGGACATGAGAACATCAATGTGATACAAATCAAAGAAATGGATTCGAATATATCTTCTCTTAGTGACTATTAATGTTTTCTAGTTTATTTTGGATGACTGATAGAGTGTTTAAGATTTGAGACACTCTTAAAATGATCTTTTGTGTATCGATTCCTTATGTCTGGACTCCAGCTAACTGCTTCACATACCACGTGTTTCTTATTTACCTTTAGAGCATTACACGGCAGTATTTGGAAGTGTAAAAGCCAAAGGAGTATATCGAAACAAAAGTTAGAATGAAATCCCACTAAACACTGTATTTAACTTTATGTTTCCTGTCCAATGTATACATATAACTAAAAGGAATTCCATGGGGTAATCGTTGTCATGCACTTTGTAAGTACACCAAGAACGCCATCAGTAGTTAACTTAAAGAGAAACTATGAAATTAAGCATTTCTGTATAATCCCAAATCCCGTTTAGACAAAATGAGGTGATCTGCGTATCGTCATTCCGCCAGAGGTGAGTTCGTATCTAGCTTTTAAAGCATGAATAAACTTTTCAGAGACATCGCTCTTTGATAAATAATTTGAAAACCAAAGCTGTAATTTAAATAAGTACATCGACTGTTGATCTGTAACACACATAAAGGTGATAAGGGATGTGATAACATGAATGAGGACTGTGACATCGCAAACAAGAGCTAATGTTTTCCAAAGAAGTTTTATGATCACTAAAAAAGCCTTAGTATGAATACAGGTTTAGCCAAAACTCATTCGCTTACTGAACTTTTAATACTAGACACATCACGCTATGATTATTTATCGCGTTGACAGCGACGTTGTGTTGTTTTTCGTCTCACTCCCTAACAGCACAGTAAATGAATTAGCATTATGATACTGTAAGAATGGTCAATAATGTTTTTACTTTATGACTGACCATTCATGGGACCATCAAGTGAGCCACATGAGGGTTGGTGAAGAAGTAAGGATGAGAAATAACTGCATCGACCGAAATGTCTAAAATACGCAGTATTTACAACCACTTACACCCACTTTCATGCAAAATGGGGATTATAATAGAAAAGAATGAAAAAGTATTCCGAAAATACTTGATTATTTGGTATCAATCTATGAAGTTACTAACGGTTAGTCTAATTAGTGCACATAAAGATTAGCTGGAAAAAAACAAAGTATATTTTGTCTTGAAATCAGTTACAGTTGTCAAGTTTCAATTCGACCTAAAACATCATTTTCAGCTTATTGACTAGCCTGTTTACTAAGTTCACGGTGGATTTATAATTAAATGTCACCCATTAAGTAAATATAACATAGCATACAAGTTCAGTGGTGACAACTGGTTGATAACTGATAATCAATCTCGAAGTAACAAGGGGTTACACTCATCCCACTAGCTATCTTGTTGTTCTTTACTGTTTTTCTCTAGTTTTCTGATGTACTCTATATATTTATTTTCAACAGCTGGTCAGTTGACACTCATTCATTCTCTCTTTTAGTTAGTCATTATGATACAAACTACCAACTACGTAAAAAAACACTTTAAGATCCCACAAATTCTACTGTGTACCTGTACCTCTATACCTTAGCTATTGTTGTAACTACTTTGATGATTCGTCACCCCTTGTTACTTCGGGATGCATGATCAGTTACTAACCAAATGTAACCACTAGACTAGTGTGTTGCTTTGCTCTTTAGAAACGCAACATATTAGTGTAGAATCATTCATAAAAAGCTAATGGAGAAGAAACATTTCCTTACTCAATTTGGTTGTTTTTTAAGTCGAACAGTCTGTGCCATTTGTTGTTAATACACTGATTGGTCGCTGGAAGGCAATCAATTTCATGTTATCTAGTCCTGAGTGCTGACCGAATTCTATCGATTCTTTTGTAGTAGTCACCAAGCAGTTGGGAGCGATCGATATGAAGTCCTGGACCCAGGTTTCGTGTTTACTGACAATCCCGATCCAAACAGCTCATACTGCTGAGTGCAACATTAGGTGACGCAGGTTTGAATCCAGCAGGGGACATCCGTTCTCTTGAGGTTCCAGACGTGCCCTGCTGACCAGTGTCAATAAGCATGAAACCTACGTCTACGGGTTACCCCACCTATCCCCTCCAAACAAATGACATTTGTTGTTAATGCCTGAAAGAGAGCAAATGTTTTTAGATGAAAGTTCGAACTTTTCTTGTAGAAAAATCACTAAATAACGAAAGATTAACTGGTTACTTCTGTTACTAGAGTATGTAGTTGCCTTTAAACAGTTAATCTAGCGCAATGTCCTAGGTTCAACCATAGATTATTCGTAGTGATTAGTTAGTTTGTGTACGTGTACACGTCGATGTAGCTTTTAACTGTTTCTTTGTCACAAATGAGGAACTATTTTCATTGTTGGAGTATCCGTTTTTCGGATGAACTACCTGCAGATTCACATGTAAATTAATAGCCTTTTCAGCTCTGTGGTCACCCATTTTGGTAAAATAAAAAAGTGTTATTGTTTCAAAATTCACTGCATGATTTGTTCGCTTATGAGGAGTACACAGCATCGAACTAGTTATCACGCAGACTTCGTTAATTTAGACTTAACAAAAAGGTTAACTCAATATTCACACCTGCAACGATCTTGAAGAAAACCAAATTCACTAAATTCCTTTAAAAATAACAAAAATGTAAAATTACTCTCGTCTGAATGAATGAGCGAGGAATCTTCATTTGATTTCACAGTAGTGGTCATCTCTTCATTGTTCGCTTTCCAAAAACTTCATGAGATAAACTGGGTACAAATATTTCAGCGACGGCGAACAGATTTATTAGAAGCCAAACGCCAACTAAAACATACACAAAAGGAAGTAAGCTAGAGCAAAATGTCGATAATGGGAAAACGACAGGAAAACTACACCAGTAGGTTAGAACAGAGTGGTCATAGGAAGCAGAAAGATAGCTTTGAATTCGCCAGTAGGAAATTATTGGACGTCCAGTGACATTTGCTTTAACTGCTGGTCAACATTACGTTGTTAGATAAATGATGTATTAGGTTTTACTATTTACACAAAGTTGACAATACCGTTTCATCAACCATTAGTCCATCAATGCCACCAATCAATCAAAACACTCAGTACAAGAACGAACATCCCAAGTGGATTAAATTTCTATATGCTAGTCAGTGATAATAATAAGTTTAAAGTTAAGCAATCTGTGTAAGTGGATGCTGTTATAAGTCAGACAAAATTAGACATTTTGTAGTTACACACGTTTAGTAACTTTGATAAGAAAAATGATTAAGAATTTAGGAATGGGTTAAAAGGAATGAGCTTCCACTTACACTAACCGTAGCGAAAAAAGGCTGCTAATGGTGCTAGTCAATGTTATTTAGGTTAATTTAAAAATAAAACTAATTACTGGCACGTTATCGCCAACTCCATCCACGATTACCGAAAGATTTTCAAAAGAAAACAGTGTGTCGTTCAAGGAAGTAAATCATTTGCTGATGTAAGAATGTGATGGAAAAAAATGAAATAATTTATGTTACTACGAACAAACAACTCATCAAAGGTATAAACGAATGTCATCCATATGTCAGCTAGGAGATATGTGACTATGTTATAGGAGGAGTATACTACACTGTAGTTTATGTCCTGTTATACGGCTATGACACATGGCCGTTGCAGGTAGGAGATATCAAATTATGACACGTTTTTAAACACAAGCATCTTCACAACACTACTCACGTATGGTGAAATCATAGTGTGAGCATTGTCGAGGTTAAGCGAAGGTTATTATGCAAGAAAAACAAGTCAGTCGATGAAGCTATCAACCTTCACTAACTGAAGTAAATTGAACATGTATTGTGTGCGTTCAGCAACGGTTTACCCAGATGTGCAGTGTTGGGAGGCTCGGGGTACCCACTCAAGAAGTTGTACCAGTTCATGAAGTCTTTGAAGGTTGGTCTGAGACATGTATGCGGGTATGGACTACCTGGCTTCGGACTTCAAGACCATATGAACCAGTGGTCAAAGGCTCTTGTCGACATGACTGAAAATAGGTTACAATGGTGCAGATGTATCCACTCTTTGACGTCTTGTAATATTTAAACATTTTCATTAACCTTCACTTTCAAACTTTTCTTCCTCTATACGTCTTTTTATACTACGAAACATGCCAACTGAGTCATAGAGAAGAGATAATTCAGCGAAGAAAGTTTTCTTTTTCGAAGATATCATTTTCTAAAGCTGTACAGTCGTATTTGTATTTCATAAACATATAACAGTCCATTATACCCTATTGTTTTATAATGGACTGTTATATGTTTACGATATATATAAATACGGTTGTACAGCTTTAGAAAATGATATCGTCGAGAAAGAAAATTTCCTTCGCTGAATTATCTCTTCTCTACGCCTTTGTATACTTTGATATAAGCCTTTTTCTAATTCTCTGCTCCTTGCATGTTATTGAAGCGTGGCAGGTTGAACCGATACACTTCTGTGTGAGGTTATACGCTGGATTTTCCCTCTGTCTAATACCACATTGACATATTTGCGTAAGTGGAAGAATATATGTTGCATAAGAATAATTGGCATTACGTGCGAAGTCTAGCAGATGTCGAGGGACGAGAGGCTTGGGCTTGATTAGTTTATGTTAGGTCAGAGGATAACCGCCACCAAATGCGCCCAGTCAGCTGTTAACAAGTAATTGGAGTGTGTATGGTAATTGTATAAAGTCACTTTCATCCACAACCATTTACTAGCGCTTCTTTCAACTCTATTCCTTCAAGCAGAAACATACTGTGGATTTCGGTGTAGACTTCTGTTATGACAGACAGAAAAGATCAACATAAGACCACGCATTATTGCGTAGTGGTTCAAGTTACCACATTTTATATCAGCATATCAAGCGAGAAAGGACTAAGATGAAAGAGTAAAAAGTAGACAAGAAAGCGGTTAAAACAGTATAAGGTCGTGAAAGGACAAAAGTAAGGAGGAATAAGAAAATACTGAATTGAGTATGGCACTTAAGATGAAGATAACGTGTGGATACATCTGTCTCACTGTGATCGGTCCTCAATCATGTCACTACGAGTCTCCAACAACTGGTTTCTATTGTCTGCAACACAGATCCCAACCAGGAAGTCTACATTTCCCTACTCGACTCAGGTCAACAGTCAAATAGCTCACATACTCGTGCGACGTATTAGTTTGAGCACCTCCAACCATTTCTCAGCCTAAACATATTTCAAACAACATTATACGATGAGGCAGATGGCAACTAGGCGTGCGTAACACGCATCCCAGCAACCTCAGTCGATGGAGGCCCACAACTTCATCAACTGACTTTACTCGTCTGCCCGAAGCTCTACTCTTCATTCTACATTACTAATACGGTGAAACTATGACACACGGCCTATACTAAGAAGGTAAAAGAGGTCAGATACCTGAAGCCCTCTCATGTCCTCTATTTTAAATGGCCATGTTTCATATTCACATACCGGAACAAGGAAGACTGCGCCACAGTACCCTCAACCATTAACAGAGAACTGGACATCACGGTGGTGCCACAAATGGCGTAGATTAACGAAAAGCAAACGAGTCTTTTGTGTCCGTGCAGAGGTTTTTTCGGTTACTGAGCCATCAGAGCTGATCCATTCTTCCAGGCAAGTGAAGTGGTATGAGCACTCATCCGTTTCACTCTATTGTTAGACAAGATATCATTGAAGACTAGTCGAGGAGTAATAATTTGCATTTGGGTGGCGAGAAACGCATCCCAAACATCCTCAAACCACCACTCAAGGTATCCAGAAGACTCTGCGTCTTACCAGAGTCATTTAAGTACTCCAGATCTACCACGGATTCTGGTGTGATAATATCAATCCTTGTGGACAAATGATGAGAGGTAGAACTCCATGAGTGCATCTATGATAAAGTTGAATAAAAGTGGAGAGTGAACATCTCTAACGGACACCCCTAGTTGTGCATAATTCACCATAGGCTGTAACACGTTCATGGGTGTTCGAGTAAAGAGCTTTCGACAGAGATGTACTTATACTGATAGTATTTTTGTTTTCCCCTTAGGTCTGTGGAGTGGGCTTCACAGTTTGAAATGTCGAATACTTACTTGGAAATGTGTTGAACCAACAAATGAAAGTGCAGCAAAACGTAAGGCAAGGAGATTCTTGAAGTCAAATACTATTCCAATATACATAATGCGAAGGTGATACACCAAAAGACTCGGAAATAAAATTTCGCAGTACAGCAGTCGTTGCGCTATGGAAGGTTACTGAAGGTGGAATTCTTTTTACCGTACGTAGGTGCAGTGATATTTATACACATCCTTTCACCGTACATGCATGTGAATGTTTGCTAATAACACTTGGCTGCTTACGTATAGTGGAAAATTCCTGGATGGTGCTAGCAAGAAGTTCAATAATTCCGTGATTGATTGAAATATCGCACGATTTGATACTTGAAAGAAAGGATTTCATCAACAGAGTGCTACATTCACACTCAATGTACCCTGGGATGTTATCGTGGCTAAATGTAGGTCAGGATCAACAGTTAAGATTTCGGAAAATAACATTAGTGACCACCATATACGACCTTTTAATTCCAGTAGTATTAGTACATTTGAATATTTTTTAGGTCGAATCCGTTTAGATTTCAATGAAGAATTTCGCATACTCAAGAAGAACAGCGAGGGTGTGACAACGCTACTTGCTTGCGCTTTCAAAGCAGTACAGAAGATTACACGAAGGGTTACACTCTATAGACACTGACTAGAACATCTTTATACTGATAGTTTATTGTGGTTTTACTACATTTTAACACGCGCGACAGATTCGTAATCTTTCTATTGATCTAAATATTGAATTCAATCCATTCAAAAGTTTAAATGCTTGTTATTTCTGAAGTGTACATCTCTTAGTTTCTACAGAAAAATCCTAACAGTGTGCATTCGCAAGGCCGCAATTACAACTTATTTCGTAAGTATTCCTTCTGCGGGTTTTAGGACCCACATAATAATGCTGATTTTACTCAACAAGTTGTTGATAACCAGGTATATTTGCTCATATACAAACACGCCAAACTGCAGCCCACATACCGCCAGAAGCGCATTCCGCTTTACACCCGTGCCGAGAAGTTACTGTGGTAATGCTTCTACACTGATCATGAGAACTCTGGCTTCCTTTCAAAAAAGTCAGTGACTGCTACTTCAGCAACCATAGTTTGGGGCAGGATGCTAAGTGTGATGTGATTTTGTGCAGAAATGAACATCAATTTGAGGACGATATTTTAATACACACGTTATAATTAATGCGTTGATATATCTCTAAACACCTTACCAGTAATTTCAAATCAATACGTTCAATAGGCCAAGGCTGACATATTAAAGTAAAAGAGAAGAAAAAGGAAAGAAGCTTGGTGAAAGCAACGAAAAAGCTTGGGAAATCCATGTGAGAAGAAAAGAGAAAAGCCATGTGGCAACGAGATAGTTATAGGAAATGAGAATTCAGAAAACATAGAGTAAAAAAAAGGTGCTTGGTAGAGGAAGAAAAAAGCGATGAGCGTAGAGAAGGGACGGTGACAAAGTGAGATGAATTCATTGCCTAATGAAGAACTTTTAGGTTACACTTCAAACAAATTAGTGCGCTGCCTATTTCGCATTAATCCCTCAAGATTCCGTTCACACAAAGATTTTATCAAAAATCCCATAAACAAGCAAGATATCTCAATCGGAATCACTCATGAAAACCATTTATTATTACTAAGGAGGTCTTTCTATGCAGTTTGATGCTGATAATCTGCTTCTGAAATTTGCTAATCCTCTTCACTGGGAAGTAACCAAAAGGTGGGCAAAAATTTGGAAATAAGAAAATTGTGATGGAGAGGTGTAATCTAGTGCACTGACAACTGCAATGGAGCCAGTAAAAAATGGCAGGAAACATATGATATTGTGGGAAAGGCTAAACAGGAATGGAATGTAACACTTCTCCACCAAAGACAGCACTTACTTCGGGTACACTTTCAAAGTTTTGAACAAAACCCTGGAAAACCTTCTGAACGCATCTAAGTAGGGGCAACGTCTTTCCGAAAGATAAAACAACACCCCTCCCCCCCCCCCACATTGTCAAGAGTTCCTAAGTTCCCCAAGTTTGTGCGGTGAACAAGAAAACCATGACGAATTAATTTGTCTAGATTTACAAAGCCATATTGTGGAGTATTGTTCGATGCAGCATTATTTTCTGCAATAGGTGTGTTCGCATAAGTGAAAGTCCATACACTGAATTTCTAACAGAAAATAACGGAAAATTAGGGGCTCCCACTCGATTCTAGAGTGCACCAAAAATTTTCAGAATGGTGTCCAAAATTTACAAAGTGTGCTTAAACTTGGTGCTAGCTAGGATCATTCACACTTCATTTTATTACAGAGCTCCCATGTTTTAAATTTTTGTTTTTCCTACTTTCAGAGTGATAACGCGGATGTATAAGGCTGTGAACCGACGACGTATATGAAATGATTTTTTAAAACCGTTTATCGACATTACTGAGTTTGATCCCGCGAAAATATTGACTGGGTGGCGTACGTGCTTAGAGAGTGAACGTTCATAGTCAAACCAGTAAGCTGATTAAGACAACAATAAATATGAGCATAACAGCACCTATTCTATAGAACTATGAGTTTTTCATGAGGTTTCTTTAGGACTAAAACATGGAGTAAATCGAGACATTTATAATTAGACAGACCTGTGAGCAAAAGTACTCAAAAGTATGAGTAACCTTCAGACCTGAAAATTCCGCTTAGTGACCTCTACGTGTGGTGCAACTCTCAATGGCATCCTGTAAGTGATTTCAAATGGTTGATGATGGGACAGAAGAAACTTTCGCTTGACAAACTTCTACACCTAGGATAATACTGTAGGTTGTATCCATTTTCGTTTGTCAGTTATTATTATTAGTCCCATGGGTTCCTAGTGGAACATAGGGCTTCAGTAGCACGTCTCCACTTCACTCTGTTCTCTGAGATCTTTTGAACCTGGTTCCACGACAGCCCAGAAGCTCTCATTTCCTCCTCGCACGACCTCCTCCATGTCACCCTCAGACGTCCAACTCATCGCTTCCCATGGGGATTCCACTCGAGCGACTGGCCTGACGCGTTATGTCCCCAGTCGGCCTTCTCAG